TATTGCTGCTTGGATGCAACAATGGGTGTTAAATGGCGCAAATTAATGGGCCTGTCCGTACAAGTCAATGGGTCCCCTGGCTCACGTTATCACGTAACTCCTTCACCCGCGTCGCTACCAGCCTCCGCTTCCTCTGTGCCTCCTCCAAGACCTTACTGTGTGCAGGCCAAGGCCTGTGCCGAACACAGTGCAAGATCCGATTATGTGGCTTTAGCTGTCATGATTTCATATTAGTTTCGCATTACGTCAAAATCCTCGCAGGGACAGTTCAACAGTTCTGACCGTTTGAGTTGGCAGTGTCAGAATTGCACCCAAAAAAATTCTCACGTCAGGCTTTGAGGGATTCCAAAACTATCGTATAAAAATGGCATTTCTCAAACGAATACAATTCTGTGATTTCTCGAGCTCGCACAGTGGATGATGGTCATATCTTGTGTCACACACACACCCGCTTTACACTTTCCCACCCACATCCTGATCAACAGCCATATCGCTCTGTTCCATACATCACAAATCTATATGCCTTGTTCATAAAATATAATATTCTCCCTCCTAGTCTTGTATTCGTATGCCCTTTAGTGCAATTGTACAGCTTCAAATCCTTGTGCATCCTCCTGTCCCATTGTAATATTATCCTCTCCAAGAAGCCCTGTCAACCCCATCTCATTGGACACGGTGGTTAGGATGTCTGAATATTTTGTAAGCAATGTTTATTTAAAGCAGAAATTAATATTAAAAGGAAAACAATGCTAGGTGTCAATTAATTGGGGGGGGGGGGGAGAATACCGAGACCAGGTACAAACGCTTCATAACAGTATTGAAACCATTAAATATAGTGTCTCACTCCCTACGCCTTGAATTGAAATGATAATCAAATGCGCGACTTTCACTCCCGTGCCACCTCTTTACTGCCTCTTAACTGTAAATGAAAATGTCTGTCTTCGGGCCTATGTTACCACACCTATCCGCGCGTTCTTTGAGTCGCACGTATTACCTCTTTGAATAACAAATGCCTTAGTTACCCCCACACCCTCCGTGCATAGAAAAATAATAAATAACGCAACGTGTAAAGGGCCCATATTGTGCTGCGCAAACTCCAAGCAATATCTCCACAGTGGTGGCCTTCACTAATCTGCAGATGCAACGGTTTAATATTACAAAGGGCTCTTGTGTTCACGTCCTCTTACCTACAATTACCGTAAACAGCCGATGAGGTGAAGCTTGGACTCGCCCAGTTGTGTGCGTATTACAAAGCTATATACAATAACAAATGACTGCGAAGTGCTGTCGCTAATTCATCCATTTCAGTGGCGACTATATGACACATTACACAGGGGTTTACTACGAGGGAGGGTCGAGATCATTATATTGGGAGGACGAACTCATAACCACGTCCTCCGTGTAGGGGTCAGGGGTCAAAATTGCTGTGCGACCTGGAAAAGTAAAGACAGCGGTGGCGCGGTGCGGTGGCATCGACGGCACTGGCAATGATGACCTCCTAAACATGAACTCGAGTTCCCCTTCGCCCACATCGAGGAGCTGTCTCTGGGTTGAAGGCAAATGCGCTCCCAGGGCCAACCGACAGAATGACCACCGGCCACATTCTTAGCTCTGCCCTCCAGCGTCATTCGGTTAATTTTTGTTATTTGAAGCGGTGGTGAAACTGTGCACTCGCTCCGCGGACGTAAAGTAGCCCCGATTAGCAAGTGGGCATGTAATTGTGTGCCCCTTTACAGGAGTGCTGGTTAACTTCCAGTGTGCCCAGCAGGGGATTTGTGGTGAGTGTGCCACGGCTATTAAAGGCCCTTTTTGTTTGCCCCTAGATTGAGACCACGTGTGGGTTCCGCAAGCGAGCGAACAGGCGAGTCGGAGCCCGGCCAGCTAAATCCATGAAGGTCAAACGCGGCGCTATCCACTGCGGGGTGCTCTGCTAACTTTGCCGTGGCACGAGCGTGGAACAACTATAAACAACGTCGTTAGCCTTCATCTAAAGGGCCCCCATAAGATATGCAGAATTTTCAGACATAAAAAAAAAACAGAAAAGCTGCGCTCGCTTTTTAGCCTCACATCTAAAGTGCAAATTTCTTGTGCTTGTCCAAAAAGAGTCAAAATCAAAGTGATTTCCTGCAAAAAAAAAGCGCAGAATCAGTGTTCATCTCCGGTTTACAGCCCTGAGCCAGCGGTAGAAATTCCACACTCCGATGGCAGAGGGAGAGTCTGTCCGTAGGATAACCACTGCGTCAAAACGGATGTTTCATAATGGCGCCTTGCACAATTTGGAAGTGTGCACCACACGTGTTCTCAGATTCTCAGTTCCGAACAATTTTCAAGTTTACACTCGCCGTCTAACAAGAGCCTCTGCGGGCTTGTTCCTGCCTACATTTCCTCTCTCGACTTGCTCTACCACCCTTCAGGTGCCCTCGGCTCTAGTGACCATAAAGGTCTTCTGCCAAAAGCCTCAGTCAACCTTTGCTTTACGAGAGTGCACGCCTTCTGTAGATCCTCCCCATAGTCTCGAATTCCCTTGCTCTGACCCTATCTACACAGCTGATACCCTTCCCTGTGTGAGTCTTGACTGAAGATGTCCCTCTACTCATCTGCACATGACTATCCCCTATGAAGTGTCTTCACATGCAATTCCACCATAACGTTCTATCAGCTCCCTCTCGTGCTCTTAAAAACTAAAAAATCCTCACACATCTTTCTCCTAATTTGTACGGCGTCTTGCGATGCAATCACATAACGACGCTTTATATAGAATTGTTCTATTTGCGCAGTTGAAAATTGCGCTTTTACATATATTAAATGCCCATGCACATGTGAATTGAAGTATCAATGACCAATCATAATTACTGGTGGCAGAGCGTGACCAACAGGCAAGAGGGTTAATTGTCAGCACAGCCGCAATCTCGCAAAGGTGATAGCAGCTGCAGGGGTGTTACACATTGTTCTGGAGCCCCTGTATCACTAGCAAGTCATCAGTAGCTCTAACTTTGTAAAATAACACCATGTATTTTTAGAGTAATGCGAAAATTAAGCAATTAAAACTCTACACGTATAATTGTCACGCTAAAGTCCACTGAACAATTGTTAATCACTCCGGACGTTATTCTTGGTTATTTGTTTGTGGTTCGTTGTGCTTTTTCCGGATGCTAGAGCCAATTATCGTGTGATATTTGAGCAACTAATCATTTGTCTTACAAATGATTCTACTTTTATTTCATTGAGATGTTACATTTTACAATTGGTTATCGTGTGACTACTGTACAATCTCAGCACAATGTTTATGATCCATATTAAACTAATGATGTACAGCCCTTTGTCAATCCACTGCTGGATGAAAGCCTTACCATTCAATGTCTTGACAAAGACGGCCACAGCATCATGCGCTTTCAGATGCGCTTCTGCGGCCGTCTGGAACGCTCTTCCTTTTGATATTAGGAAGCCACTGGCGTGTTGCACTTTTAAATGTAGATTGAAACTAATTTCACTTTTTGAATTTATTTTTGTTTTAGTTCGTTGTCGTTCCCCCGCACCTCTGATAAGCACGGTTGGCTACATATAGTGCGAAAGAAGTTCTACATACATACATACATGGAGGGTTTGGCCATAATTTACCATGCTGGTTGTGAAGGGCAACAGAACCATAATGTTCCGTATCATTCTTCCTTAAATGCAGAAAATTTGAGTTTACACTTTTAAAAAATGCATAACCATCGATATTGGTCCCCGTTCATACAAAACCTAAAACGGCTTTGATCATTGCCATCATCAGTCGTGGGCCGCCATCTGCTGGTTAAAACTAGATATGCATTTGCTATTAAATGTAGTGCTTGTAAATGTCTAAGACAAATACATATTTATTAATAAGGTTCATGGCACATTCACAGAATTGCATGTATGAATCAACGTTTTTTTTTCAATGTAATCAAATCATATTGGTATATTTAGGCAATATAGTGAACAAAACTGTAAATCAGATCGAATAGATATACCAATGAGATGGCAAAAAATGTACACTAATTCTTTAATTGAATTGTAGTTCTGAATCAACGATTCACCAAATTGCCAAGAGGGTTAATTGTCACATCCCAAGCATCTGCAGGAATTTCGGGGAAATGCCTATTGGCACCGACTAATATTTCCATTCAGTAGATTAGCGGAGTCTTCGTTTTACAAAAATGTACTCTGGAAGGTACGTCATTGTGCTGAAAGTTGCCCATACCCAAAATATCAACATTCCAGACAGGCGAGAACAGTGTTCTTCACTAATTTGCAGAGGGGAGCCACTGTCGCCGATAAGACATCATCAATATGAGAGCTGCCACACATTTGAAACCATTGGGATTTGACGGCAATCATGGGGAGGTTTTGTCACATTGGTGTATTGTCGGGGGCCGCACGAAAGGCCACCAGGGACTGCCAGTAGCCCGCAGGCCTTGCAATGAAGAACAGTGGGCTAGGGTAATTATTAAACAATGACAATAGGTTATACAATAAGATAATCGACAATGCGGATAATCTGTAGGTCTGGATAACGCCTCCTAGATCATCAAAAGGCATCTTAGGATCGTTAGTTTGTAAAGGTCAAATTTGTAAACATACAAGACAGGATATATATATATTTTTTCCTTTCACCCAATTTTTTTTGCTAATGTGGATTACTGGCCCTGACACTGCTTGTCCACTTTAGCATTTATAATAGTCCAGAACTTGAGCTGTGTGTGTGGTCAGGGGGAGCCATTGAATCTCAACTGGCTCCACGATCAGTCATACTCTTAGTTCTTTCGGTAAAGTCACGCAGGTAAAAAATGAAATTAAAATTAATAAAAATAAAATAAAAAATCACGTTTCGGAGGCAACACAAGTCTCCGTCATCAGGTGGGACCGCCACAGCCAGATTTGCTGCATCACGAGCAGTGTTAGCTATTCCTGTTTTCTGAAATTACAATCAAGGGGTCAATTCGGATATGTCGAACGACAAATATGATGTCAGTAACCACACAAAAATAAACATTTTATTAACATTTCAAGCTTTTTTTCACAATTCAGCGTTTGCATAAACGAGTTACACCAGGAACAATTGAATACAATTACAAAACGTTCCAACTTCACACCGATGGAAACGTTGAAACTTTAGAAAAATTATATCAACAGTATGTACTTTTTCAAACTTACGGGGCCAAACCAATATTCATTACAAAAGTCATAACCATACCCAACATCATGATGCAGATTATAGGTTACAATTACGATTTGGTTGTACACAGGGTGAAATTCAGAGGGTTCTTGCTCCTCAAACACGCAAACTAATAAATCAAAAACATTTATGAAGGCACATGTGGAAAAAACGCCCCCGTCTCTCAGGTTAAAGTAACTATTGTGCATTTTATAATTTGGTTACAATATATTTTGCTCGAGTACACAGTACCAACTAACATTTTAATGATTGGAAAGTACAACGTCACATATTCATCCATCACGTAGCCACTCTGTGCACACCCAGTGCAGTATGCACACTTTAACTGTCATTCTCTATAGATGTTCAACAAATCTTGACTTTTTCATATATACAGGAATTAATTCTTAACCTTGCCTACCTTTGCGTACGTCTAGAGTATAGATAGGAAAGCATTTCCCCATGTTCAGACAATTTTCACTTTTTTGTCCAGTAATCTATTTGCGTATGTTGTAAAGTGCTATTTTCTGGAGATGTTCATCAAATTCAACCTTTTCACAAAGCTGCCGAGACCTCAGGCCCCCACGAGTGGGGTACATGTGATGCTGCCATGTACTGTGACTGTTTCTGTTGTGTGTGTACGAGTGATGAAGACAATGTTTTGGTTCAATGGCATTCACCGAAAATGAAAATATCCCATGATGGCGGTGGCCATTTCTGAATGATTTGAGAACGAATTAATGCTCTAGGGAACGACGGTTGCCACAATAATGTCTTAATGAATCAATAAAAAGTTACACATCATTGTCAGCTGAACACTATAACCAACTTAAAAAATTTAGTCCATGTTTGCGAGCCAAAAAAAAACAATCGCGATGGTGGATTGCACTATCTACACAACGATGCATATTTGATCATCTCTGTACCACGCTGAAATTGTTCACATTGATAAAATAAAAAATATATAACAGCTCTATGTTAATCCACTTGTGGATGAAGGCCTCTCCACACAATGTCACGTGGGTTCTTGACTTAACTTCACCACACTGGTCCGTGTAGGTTTGTAGGGTGGCCCAGGAACAGTTCTGATATCACCCACCACCGAGCCGTGTCTGTGAATCTCAAGTCAGTGGGTTATTTATTTATTTAAAATATTTAACCTGGAAAGTCCCTCGAGATGCAACATCTCATTTGCGAGGGTGACAAGTGACACATTACACAGCGAGGGGCGAAGGGTCCCTTATAGGATGACGAGCAGGACTGGGCAGGTTAGTAGTGTAGTACGCTAACTACTGTGCCACTGCTCCATCTCCACCTTGTGATACCACTAAGGATATTTATCAGCATGGCGAGTAGCAGCAAGCCTTCTTGGATATTTTGTTTATGAATCTACCAACATCATGCTCCCCACAAGCAATGCAACAACCCGTTCAGAATGGCCCCAATTGTGTGTAAAGCAGAACATTTAGTTGGCAAAGGGTGGCGGCCTTTTCAAACAAGTTTTCTGTATCCCCGTTTCACGCGTTTTGGTGAATTCCTGCCATGAATTGTACCAAGACAATATGTGGTAGGCTAGTATTGATTGTGTGAGGCTGTGTTGATCCAGCATGCAGAACGCTTCTATTGTCTATATCCACGTGTGTTTTATTGTGTTTTTAAGTCCTCATTGAGCAAGTATCTGCTGGAATATTCACATTGCATCTCCATTAGGCTGAGGGGACATCTTCTGGTGGGGGTCTGAGCCCAGCATCATGTTCTGCCGTGTCGACGTTGTCGCTGCTCTCCTCTGCGCCGAGTTTGCGGTGGCACATGGGGCAAGTGTCCTGCACATAGAACCACTTGCGCAGGCAACTGGGGTGGTACATGTGGCCGCAAGGAGTCAATACTGCCACCTTCATGTCCTGAAGATAAAACAAAATTTAAAACAATAGTTAAGCATGGCGTAGTATGACATTTTTTACTATAAAAAAAGCAATTAACACCTATCTGAATATTTTTTGTGCGAACGCTAACATTTTAATTTAACAACACAAAATGAAGTGGTTAAAAATAAAACAGGAGACAAATGTTGTTGCACCACACAATGTGAGCCATGTATCTTACCAACATTTTCTAAAATGTACAACACACATCCCACAAACCTTGAACATGAAAATTAATCTCATATGGCATATATAGATTCTGAGCCTTGGACATAAAACAGATTCCAATAGTCACTGTAATGGAACTACAAATTGTCTTGCTTTCGCCAGCTCAGTCTCGGTTTACAAAAGCTATCCCGGTATCAATAAGAATCTGTTAAAATCGGGATTTTGTCCCATTATAAAATTTTCTGGCATCGTGCATGATCATGATATGAACCAAAGGTGGGGCTACCAGAGTAGCAGAGGTCGCAATCGGGTACCCGATACCCGTACCCTATCCGATACCCGGCTACCCGTACCCGGCCGGGTACGGGTACGGATACCCGTTTGCGACCCTGGTGCGGCCGGGTACGGGTACGGGTAGGCCGTGAGTCACTGGTGAGTAACGGTTTGTGACTCATTTCCCAACGTCTTGTCTCTTCTCACAATTCAAGTTCCTAGAATCAACCCACCCGCACCTGCAACATGGCTTCATCCCAGAGGTCGCAATCGGGTACCCGATACCCGTACCCTACCCGATACCCGTACCCTACCCGATACCCGGCTACCTGTACCCGGCCGGGTACGGGTACGGGTTTGCGACCCTGGTGCGGCCGGGTACGGGTAAGGAATCAAAACCCGTTTGCGACCTCTGCAGAGTAGTGGACAGTGTTGGTAGAGGAGGTAGGCCTGTGAGCAGTAGGTGGGTGAACATTACAAATTTCAAAGGCCTCTCACTGTGGACAGGGCTAGTGATTGAGTGGGTGTGACTTTGGAAAAGTGGGCAGGGCTGAAGAAGGGAGGTGCTACCCCAGTTCACCACGTGTCCTGGCTGAGCCATCTCAACGTTTGGCAGCTTTAAACGTCTCACAGCTCCAAGGAGTGGAATGAAAACTTGAGGTGACACCGTACATTTGCTTGGCTCGTTTCCAATGTTGCGTATGCACGCACCTGGTAACAGACTGGGCACACGTCTCCATGTTGCGCCAACAGTTGCGGCGAGGCCCTCTGCATAGCAGCCACGCGGGATCCAGCCATGCGCCGTAGCTTCAGGCTGCGCCAGCCGGCACGTGCGCGCTGCCACAGGTTGTAGTAGGCGTAGGCGAGCACCACAGTCACGCCGGACCAGCTCCATCCACCGCCCGTCCACTCGAGAAGGCTGAACACCACGAGCCCCAGAGATGCCAAAAACTCCAGGCCGCGGCAAAACCCCTGAAGGCATGGGTGATGACAGCTAAGGTCAAGAGATCGTCATCACGGCTGTTGCCATTGATGTGGCTACACCTCACCATCACTCCCTTCCTCCCATTAGATCTTGTAGTTTGTTGTAATGTTGACACTTGGCATTTAAGGACTGCTCTTACAGTATCTCATCATCTGGCTATGTCTTTGCCTTGGTTTCTGAACTCTGGGTGCCCATTACAATGCATGTAAGTGAACCTGCTTTCATCTATCCTACACATTTGTCTCATACAATGTAACCTATTTTTTTCCAGAATATGTCTAACAACAATCTGTTTGTTTGTTCAATTAATAACTTTCAAGTTGCTTACCCTATCAATTAAATTGGCAATCCTCACACATTGGTGCCAGCCTGTTATATAAAACACAGCATATATATATTCTTACATTGTTTTAATGCATTCCTGCCATTGTCTTAACAGTTAACATGTATTATTATACAAAACCTATGTAAAATATTGAAAAGTACTGTGGGCATGTGTGCAAATGTATCTTTAATGTTTTAAACTGTACACTAAAAATATTCAAACATGCGGACAATTCAGTAAGCTCTTTGAGATTTCAATCTTATGCAATGATAGAACTCAAGTCATAATATATGTGATAATTAAGAAAAACTTATCATCCTCACCTGCAGGTAATAGACAACATCATCCATGAATTCGGGAGGCCAGTCACGCTGCTCTTCAAAGGCGAAGAGTAAGTAGATAACGATACTGCTCATTGCCTGTAAATAGAAAACACAAAGCTGTCACACTCCCTCAGAATGGACACCACAACCTGCTGCTTTGTAAGCAACTCGTGTAATCGTGCTAAAAAAAGTGTCCAATAGCGGCCTAAAATACATTTCTGCTCAAGGTTGATGGAACTGTGGAATCCAAATTATAATGCGCAAGCTTGTCAAGGGCACAACTAAACCGTGCGTTGTTTGGTGCGTATCCATGCCTGGAGCGCCGTTAACACAGTGCTTGATATAAGGATGAGCCAGGAGTCCATTGGGAGAAGCAGGTTGATCCTCCACATCAGGAACATCGGGAAGAGGCACAGGAACAAGCACATGCTCAACGCACGAAAGTGTTTCCACCTATTCCTGCCAGATCACAAAAGATCAGATTGTAAGTGCAGTGCTATGCTGTTTGAATTTGTACTTAGGTTAATATACAACAGCGTTGAAAAATAACTGAATAGCAACATATTCATCTCACCAGTATTCAAACATAAGACAAAACAATCTAAATATATACAGATACCGTCAACTAGCTTGAGAATGTAGTTTAATTAGAAAGCTTCCTGGATTCAATCGCAGGACCTCAGCAATGCCAGCCCAAGTGCTCTGACGTCTGAGCCACCCAGCCACCTCTAACAATCGATTTGAATCATTCAATTGATGCATCAATATCATCCTATAACACACCTTATATTTTATTATAAAAAAACACGTCTGTTTTCACAACCACCAAAACACACAACCAATTTGAATCACCAAAACGATAATTAACATGGTCAGTAATTATCGTGCTTTGATAACGACTGAAGTTTAAATTACTTATCACGTGCAGCAGCCAAGTTGAGCAGAACAGGTTCAGAGATTTCGAGCGCAGATTGCAGGGTGGAGGCCAGCACGACGAAGAGGATGATGCTGAGGAGGAAGCTCGATACACGAGCTGCAGCTCTAGTAGCCCCGTACACATCGCCATCATCAGAAACATCACGCCTTCCGAAATCCCCCTGCATGAAGCACATAAAGAGACACAGCATTCTTGAGGTGGCTGGGTGGTTCACTGGTCAGAGCTATTAAAAAATTAACCCGTAAAAACAAAGTTTTTTACTATAAATCCTTTATATGCGTGGCATCGGTTTTATTTTATTATTCATTTCTGTTTTTCTTGAGTAAGAGTTTCATTTTTATCACATTGGTATTTTAAATAAAATATGACATTTTTTTTTCCCTAAAAAGTGGAAAATTTTGGAAAATTTTTTCACGAAAATAAATTCTTACGCACAACGAGTCTGTGTGCAAAATGTCAGCTCGATTGGATCACGGGAAGTGGGTTAAAAACGACTGAAAGATTTGCACGGTCGTAAGCGCGCAAGCAAGCAAGCGAACTTAATATAAAGGATTTAAAAAGAGAACATCTTTGTTTAAACCAGGTGAGAGTCCACTGGGACTACAAGTCTATTTTTTTCAAGGCCTCTTCGAAACCGAGGCCTAGGGAAAACCACCCCAACCGCCTCCAGTCTCTATGGCAGTGTTATTCTTTTCAAGACCCGCAGGCCACTGGCGAGCCCTGGTGGCCTTTAGTGCGGCCCCTGACGTGCGGTAATTCCGACAATACATAGATGTGAAAACACCCCATCGTGCTGTCAAACCAAACAGTTTCAAATGTGTGGCGGCCCTCACACCGATGTCTTATCGGCGAAAGCGGCCCCCTCCAAAAACTATGGCCCCGAGGACCGGTTCAGATGTCACTCGCCAATGGTGTTAACCATGGACGGGAATAAAACTCTGGTTGCTAGGTTTCATAGTGTGGTGCAACAACCACTGTATCATCACTCTACCCTCTACAGGAGACATTTCATTTACATCAACTTCTAATTACAAAAGGCTCAATGTGTTCATCACTAACACTGGCTTTAAAGGAGAAATACATAATATGCGATTTTTTTTTATCAATGGCCCTTCTTCATAGTATGTAAAATAATTTAATGTGTGATGACAAAGGGCCATACAATTATTTTATGTGCTATGAAGAAGGGCTATTGCCCAAAACGTCACTTCTTATCTATATATAAAATCGCAAATCTGTCTGTCTGTCGGTCTGTCTGTGTGTGTGTCTGTGTGGCCGGACCATACGTAGTTTCATTGGACGGCGGTTGCCCCTGGCAACGGGTAGCGACGCATTCGCTGCGGGGTGGACGCCATTTTTAATTCCCGTTAAAAATATGCGCACGCATTAACACGCGACTCTGAGGTAAATTCATCAAAGTTTCACGTCCTCTTCACTCCCCCCCCACCACAATGTGTGCAATTACTATTATAGGGTCGGTAGATAATAAAATTATAGCGATTAGACAGTATTATTGTAGCGCGGGGGGGGGGGGGGGGGTACCGGACCCAGTACCCAGCCTCAGCTGGGTGGGCAATCTAGGCGAGGCCGGAGGCTCTGCACGGTACTAGGCCTTGACACACACCACGCGACTCTGAGGTAAATTCATCAAAGTTTCACGTCCTCTTCACTCCCCCCCCACCCCAATGTGTGCAATTACTATTATAGGGTCGGTAGATAATACAATTATAGCGATTAGACAGTATTATTGTAGCGCGGGGGGGGGGGGGGAATGGCACCCGTACCCAGCCTCAGCCGGGTGGGCAATTTAGGCGAGGCCGGAGGCTCTGCACGGTACTAGGCCTCGACACCCCACCACACTATAGGCCCTACATATTACTGCACAGCGGCCGAGGAGATCGTTCGTGGCTGGGGGGGGCAGGGGTAGCAGCCCATCTGTGTATATATGTAAGGTTATTAAGAAATATATTTTTCACCCGGGCAACGCCAGGTACTTATGCTAGTATTTTTATATAGATGTTCTTTTTACAGCAGTGTTATTGATGAACATGTTGCACTTTTTGTTATTTGAGCTTGTGCATCACTGTCAATGCAGTATGACCAAATGTTTTTGTTATGACACAATATGTTCAATAACTAAATGACAACAAAGTTTTGGCAATTTGTAATGAGTATGTCACGTGTTCAGTGCAGGTAAAATCATCTCACCGGTAAACTGCATCTTGCTGTAGAAGCACAGAGAAACCGTGCAGGTAAAGTCTGCATAGGGACAGCAAAGACTGGGCTACGTGGGACACCACAGATGTCAGGCCCAGCAGGAGGTATGGACTTCCGCAGCACTTGGCTACACTGCAATATTAAACATACAACAAACAACAGCGAATGAAGAGTCACTGATAATAATACAATGTGTGGAAGAATATGAGTGTTAAGTAAAAACGTATTGCTCTACTTGCCACAAGAATAACGCTCTAATAACAATTTAGGGATAATCATTCCAGGTTGTGGACTCATGGTGGATAAATACACAGTACATGCCTCAATAATTATATTTAATAGCCCTTTGACAATCCACTGCTGGAAGAAGGCGGCCCCAAGCTTTGTTGCTCATGGGAGCTGTTTGCTTGTTGGTCAGTACAGGTTGGTGAATGGTGGGGATGCCCAGATTTAGCCGTGATATCACTCCCTACCATTATTAACAAGAGCTGTGAATCAAATTCGGGGCGTCAGGTTCATAGCACAATACACAAACCACTGAGCCACCATGGATGAAACTATTTAAAGAAGGACAATTGGCTTCTTGAAATTGAAGATAGCGGATTCTGCAATGCACTACGTCAAATATATAATGGACATATCGATTGTAAGAAAACCAACGTGACCAATATTGGATGCCCTCCGCTTTGTGAGTTCACCTGGTGAGTATAAGCACCAAGTTGTCCTCCTTAGAGTCCAGTGGTGGCAGCGAAGTCTGAGTCATGAACTGGACCAGCCAGAAGGTCAGAAAAAGCGAGGGTACGGACAGCTGCTGCCACATGAAGATCAGTAGCGTGACAATGCCTTCAGCAGCCATCAACTACATGCACAGAAAATGTGGAAAAGACAGAACCATTCAATGGAATATTATATGAATAATATAATATATACAGTGATATCTATTGTTTGTTAAAAAAGTGGTATATGCTGCATAATATGATCTTTGACCATTACTCTTTACTGTGCATGTTTATCGTGATGTGGAAGGACCTTGTACTTTGTTATTTTCCCTCAACAAACATTACAACTGACAGCATGAATGTGTCCAAGTGCCAAATGTCATAGTTGTGCAAAAGCCATATCTGACTTTACGCACAAAAACTTTTTTACGTGATATTTTTTTCATCATTTTGTCCAATTGTGCCAAGAGCTTCATGTCATTAAATCAAGAATACACATGTAAATCTCACAGAGCAGTGCTCCTGGAGAATCAGAGAATGTCCCTCAGAAGAAATTTTCAAGAACTCAAAAATACTTCAAGTAAGATATTTTTTTTCTTTATACAGTAGGAAGCATACTTTCCCAAAAGCTCTGCTGTGATATAGTCCGATGACAAATTCATAGTTTAGTTTTCATTCTCAGAGATGTAATTTAGATAAACCACGTGCTGTCATTTTGTGACCAGGCTGAGGCCATCAACGCGATACACTTGTGAACCTCGTGTTTAAACTGCTGGACTTAGGGTAGTAAAAAAATTATCAAGACTAACCTGGCGTCCCTCTGCCCACGCTTGCCGCAGCAGGTAGTAAGGCAGGTAGATGTTTGATAATGCGGCATACATCACTTGAGTAACACTGAGGGTGATTGCAAACCGCTGTAACAGAGGAAGAGCAGAGCTAGGAAGGCCACAGAGGACCCCAATAAGGGGAAGGGAGGGGCCCATGAAACGCCAAACTTTCCGGGTCTTGAGGCAGCAGGCACAAAGCACTTCCACCAAAACCTGGGCTGAAAAAAACACACATTGCTCAATTAACTGGAGAAAATAGCACATTAGAACGTGCACACAACGTACATTATTTGGAATATTTTGCAGGAACTACTTCTTACCTAATATAGCTCCAATTAGATGAATGAATAAATTGTGGTTGGAATAAACAGACTCTTCTGATGTAAGTGAAAAGTCAATATAACTTCTGGAGAGAAACAAAACACAGAAAGAAAGCAAATCATTGAAATTACATTTTAGTTTTTCTTATCAGACAAGTATTAATCAATGTTAAATTTCTCTCAACGTCAAGATAAATACTCCAATGTCAAAATATTGTTGTGTGTCTTACCTTGAAATAATGTGTGTGCTGGCCAGTAGAAAGCCAGCCATAAGGTGCAGGTAGAACGATGTGAGCCTCCCAATGGGCAAAAACAGCACCGCAAACCCAAGAATATGGCCTGTGATCACATGTGAATTATTTGCAATAGCATGGGAATTGATAAACAGAATTGTCAAGGCTCTAGCTATGATCTGATAGCTCTGTCAGTGTGCATTCTGGTATAGCAGCTCAAAACTAAAGCGTGCGTGAACATTTCTATTTTTTACATCCAAACCAAAGCATGAGATCAATGTAATGATTGTAGTTTATAGTAACTATCTGTCATGCTACTTAAAATTGTACGGTGATTATTGGCCATGTAGAATAAAACACCTTACGAGAACGTTGGTCACGTAGTGTGTGGGCGAAGAGCGGTGGCGCAGCCGTTTGCGCACTGCACTGAATACGGCAACCTGAGTTTGATTGCTGGCCATAGGTAACACCAGTTGCAAGTGATGGTAATATCTGAACTGGTCCTGGGACGTCTTCCTCATACACCAAGCCCACGCTGACCAGCTCTGACCAGCGTGAAACGTAAAACTACAATGACTGATACAGCACAGTTGACTACGTATGGTGTGAAAAAGAAGTTCAACATACAGTGCATACATTATCCAGCATTGAATTGACAAAATGTTGAATTTTTTTAAAATCAGTGTCTCATTAAAACGTTACACTGAGCTGTGTAAATGACAAAGTGCGGGCTCGCACCGAGGAAGAATGCATTCCATGCTGCAAACTTGTACTTGAAGAGCATGCCGTCACTGTTGGTGTGTAGCCGGGACACCAGCGTGCTCACGTCCCACGTGTAGAGAGCATCCAGGAGGACCAGGGCGGGCACTCGGAGAGCGACGTTCACGGCCGCTTCCAAGCGATCAGACCAGGCCATACCAGCCTCTTATGGCGACCACAAATACTGAGTAAAGTTGAGAGTAAGGCAGTGGGGGGGAAAAAACATTACCAGTCATTATGACGACCACAACATTGAGGATAGGTGGAGGTGGATGACAGGGGGATATGCCACACCGGTCCTGATGGAAACCACAACACTGGGGACAGGTGGAGGTAGGTGGGGAGGGGGCACATATGCACGTGAAGATATCAGTGTACTATATTATGTCTTGTGCTGAACCGGGCCCTTGTCTTCACGATGTGCTCTATGCCTAACGCGTCTGGCAAACCAGCAGCATTTACTTAACAGGGTACACTACCTATGAGACACACACAACTGGTCAATAGTTTGCTTAAAATCACGCCGGGAAGCAATGGCATGAAAGGCGTCAAGAATCATTGACTCGAAACATGATTGACATGTGGAGATGACATTTTCTTTCATGCTGTACTTACTCTATATTAACAGCAGTCGAACAATTAGAAACGCAGCTTGTTTGTATTGTCATTTAAAGACATTCATGATCCTGTATAAATATTTCGAGTGCGAAAATAAGGCTTGAGCTGACTCTACGTTCAAGCAAAGTGTCGTCCTTAAAAGGGCAAATCCCGTATCTGTACGTTAGGATAGCTACAAATGTCACCCATTATGCATGTTGCAGAACACACATGACGCAGCATGCAATTATTCATAAAAACACTCGATAATGTTTAAGGTAATTTCACTTAAAGTGTGACCCTGGTTGAGAATGCAACCACAGTGCGATTATTGCAATCGGGTTGCATAGTAGGCCTCTAAATAATGCCCACTTTGCTTAGCAATAACCCGTTAAAATGTGCTATTATTAACATATCCATGATCCTTCCCCACACCCCCCCCCCACTCCCCAAATTGCTATTTTAAAAACGCAGCGTTCTACACATGGCAACGAACCTCGCGGAGTTTATAAACAAAACAAACAACAAAAACCTCACCGCAAAAACAGGGGCCCAGCTGTGTGACAGGGCCGCTTTTAAAAGATCCGCACGGACGGGTTCACGATCCCGCTGCTGTGCCGCACTGCCAACCCCTGGGGGGGGGGGTCGTGGGGGGGGTCGTGGGGGGGTCGTGGGGGGGGTCGTGGGGGGGTCGTGGGGGGGTCGTGGGGGGGGTCGTGGGGGGGTCGTGGGGGGGGGGTCGTGGGGGGGGGGGGGTCGTGGGGGGGGTTGTCGTAGGGGGGGGGGGTCGTGGGGGGGGTCGTGGAGGGGGTCGTGGGGGGCAGATCCTGCCGTGCACCGAGAGCAATCGCGTGATACACCAACCCCCAGCCGCGCATCGCCTTCGTTACGAGAACGGCCCCGTGGTTTAATGTAGATTTTTTTTTTTTACGCGCACTGCCAATACGTGTCGGTGTTGTTTACTCCTGAAAGAGGAAGAAAAAAAAACTACCGTTACAACAATAATAATAATAAAAGTGCGAAGCGGAAGGTTTAAAAAGAACGAGACACGTATCGACAACGACGACAACGCTACCGCTTCCCGACTGTGCCCTCGTTTCTTCTTCCGAGTTCGAGCCCTGACGTCAACGGAGGAGGGAGGTCACCGATAATAATAACAATATTAAAGTGTCAACAACAGCCGATCGATTCTCACCACCCCCCCACCACCACCAACACCACCGTGAATGCGATCTCGATGGCTGCGTACGGTGCGAAAGAAGTTCATCCCGCGCAGTGTTTGACGTTGTCACGGTGTACGTGGCGGCGAGGTTTTATTTTTTATTTCGCGTTATCTTTGACGTTCTCTTTGTGCCGCGTTGACTTGTCGCTAAACTGCTGTATCCACCTTCGGTATTAATCACTGCAGATGCATAGCCGTCAACCACCCGTACGGTTGTTTCATTGCGGACAAACTAAAATGTGTCTATTTGTTTGTGTTTCTCCCTTGTGATGGAACTTTGTAGGATGAGCGTTGAGATTTATAAGCAGCACGGGGTGGCCGATTAGGTCTGAATTGGTGTGATATAAGGTAGGCACTGGTAAGGAATTGAAAACTCAAGTGCTTTTCTCAATCACTAAAGGATAACACAGTGCAGTAACACACTTTGACCATACTTCACCACCCTGGTCATCGTTACAACGAATGCGGGTAGAGATATGCGCTGGGGACGTAATGGGAGAGTGCAGTGGATTTTTTTTTGTACTGCCCTCTGCTGGCCACCACCACGTGGCACAGCCGCGGGATTTGAAGCTTTCGTGACTGCAAGGATTCATATAATTTTTTCGGTAAAAAAATGATAGAAATAAAATAATAATAAATGAAAATAAATCAATTGATTAAAATAATAAATTAAAATAAATCAATTGATTTATTTTCATTTATTAGTTTCTAATAAATTACAAATAAATCAATAGATTTTAATAGTAATAAATTAAAATAAATCAATTGATTTTAAATTTATTGTTTTCTAATAAATTAAAAATAAATCAATAGATTTATTTTCATTTATTATAATCAATTGATTTATTTTCATTTATTATTATTTTATTACTATTATTGTTTTACCTATGTGACTTTACCAAAAAAACCTAAGAGTACAGACGCGGGACTTAAAGCTTTCGTGACTGCAGGAATTCATATTGTTTGGGTCTTTCGGTAAAGTCACGTAGATGGGTTCAAAGAAAATAACAAAAAACTACCACGTTATCCTGATGACGACCGCTTGTGTTGCGATCGAAACGTCGTAGTGTTTTTATTATTTTCTTTGAACCTATTTACCGAAAGACCCAAAGAATACCTATAGAACCTGTTGTGATGTTGTGCATAGCGGTCACCAAATTCAATCATTAGGCTCAATCCTGCTTGGTTGACACGGTAATTTAATCATCAGTTTTAATTTTATTGCCCAAATCATCGTCACGATCCAGAGGCAGATAGCCTGCGTAGGTGTCCACTGCACATTTCGTTATTTGTCTTATGCCAATATGCTCAAGTAGTGCCACATCTTTCTGGCACCAATTTCGTATGTAGTCATCAAGCCCTTCTCTGTTGTGTCTTCCTCTCTTTCCGATGCATTGCCTAAATACTCTGAAGGTTATTTTATTCAACACTGGATGCTTAATGCATTTCTCCTACTCCCGTATATGATCGTGAATAATTCCAGTTATTTACCCAGAGAAGGCCCAATAAGTCTCGAGGTTATTTTTTAGGTTATTGCATTGGGGTGTTTTGGCGTGTGGGAGAAAACATACCAAGAGAAAACCCATACATGCGAGGTGGCACTCAACACTTTCCATCTCTTGGTCACATCCCAGTCCCACATGGCGAGCCCTGGTGATCACCCATCCACGTATTGCAATAGCCAGACTCGATGCTGCTTAGCTTCCAAGATCTAACGTGATTGGGTGCATTTAGAGATTGTTGTAAGCAAATGTGAACCTCTTACCTTGAAGCCTTAATACACCAGAGTATTTCGGCCATGTAAACATGATTCATTACCGAGGGTTTAAGTGTTTTATTTTAAATGTACAAAATAAGTTCTGCTGCGCATTAATCATTATTTCAATAATGAAATCCCTGCCCACTTTAACCACATAAAAAATTACTGATGTAAAAAAGGAATCAGCTGTTGGCTCCAGCAACGCAATTACACTCACATGACCAAATTATTTTTTTGTGTATCACATCAAACGCTGTTATAATGAAGGGGACGTTAAATTACCAAGCCAATAAATGGTACAGTATCAAACCAATACCATATATTGTTTTATGCAGCTGCGTTAGCAGCGATGCACAAGCAACTCAACACGTTCAATAGCAGCGCGTGCCCTTCAAATGAGAAACAATAGGTGACGTTTCGAGCAATGGCCCTTATTCATAGCATGTAAAATGATATTCATGTGCTATGAAGAAGGGTCATTTCACGAAACGTTGCCAATTGTCATGTTTTTCCCCCCTTTTAAACCCTCGCGTCGTTATTGAGGACTGTGTTGGGCGTTGTTGTTAAGCCACTTTGTTTAACTTTAATTTGTGGCTTCTAAAAAATAAGCGAATACCTTAAGTGGGCTTTTCCTGGTAGTATACAAAAAAAATCTATGGTTTTATTTGTATATACATTTAGTTATTTATCGTGTTTTGTATTGTTTGTTGCAACGTTCCGATGCCCACCCCCTGTGCCCCTCTTGGACATCTGAAAAAGAGCTTTACAGCTCATCGGATTCCTCCTGCTGATTCAGGGCTGGCAATGAGCAAGCCACGAGGAGGGCCCCCATGATCGAGCCAATAGATTCCCCACAATGTTAAAACCTCGCGCCGCTGATTGGTTCGTACTGCGCACGTGACGTGTTATTGGCGCCACTCGACCAATCGCGTGCGAGCATTTGGCAGCAGCTGCCCCCCCCTCTCCGCACTCCCCTCCCCCATGCAAAATGTTAACAGGCTCCTAAATCGACGGGTAACGATTCCGAACATTTCGATTCTTCTACATTGCGATTCGTAAGCCGTATCGTGTAGAAATGGTTTATTTATTAACGATATACATTACAGTATATATATGAGGACTTGCTTGTTTATTTGCCGATTGGAGAATAGAAATAGGGTAAACGAATAGAACGAATTAGACAAAAAGAAACGAAATAAAACATAGATTCTGTAATCGATTGCGAATCGCATTCCGATAAATCACCGTTGGCGGGAGCGACTCACATTACATGCCTGCAAAACACGCCGCGGAGAAAAATACAAGTGGGCTACATCCATAGAATCAAACGACACAATTTTAATTTTTTCGTAGCCATTTACTATTTTAGCATTAACATTTGTCCGTCGTGAACTGAAAAAAAAAACATTAAAAAAAATTCCTACTGAACGGTCGCCCTGCCAGGCAGGCAGGCAGGCAGGCGGTGTCGATGGGGGGGTCCTTCAGACCGTGGCGCGCAGGACAGCCCCATGGCGGACTTCGTTGCCGCGAGGGTGACGAGTGGAGCGCAAAACGCGCAGATGCACGGAGACGCGGCCTCGTCTGGGCCCGGCGGCGACGATGCCGCCGCCGCCGCGGGCAGGGCAGGCGTCGGTGGCAACGCAGCGCCCGGGTGAGCAACGGGAAGGAGGAGGTGGTGAAGAAGGATTCACGAGCGTAGGACGTGAGGAGAGCAAATGGGGTCGTGGCAGCGTGGGTGGTGGGAGGGAGCGGTGGGGTAGTGGTTAGCGCACTGCGAACCATGCGGGCCGAGTTCGGTTACCGCTCACGGTGACCCAACACCGGTGACGAGTCGCTGAACCGGTCCTGTGTCTCCCCCACCCCCTTCCCCTACCCTCGGTCGACACGGCAATTCAAAACGAGTGCCTGGCGCGGTGCGTAGTAAACATCGCCTCTGGGGAGACAAAGGCGGTCGGGCGTGGTTGTTGTCCACCCACACGCCCCCCACTTCGTGTGCCGTGCCGGACTTCATAGAGTGCTTGCTAACAGCACTTGCCACCGCAGTCTTGTTAACGGGCTACGCGGGGCATCTTTGTCTTGGAGGGAGTGTGGTGTGGTATGTGGGGTGGTCGATCCCATTGATCGGGGATGAGTTGGATGGTGGACGAAAGGATTTGGGTGGGGGTGGGGCATGCACGCAAACGAAAGTAGAGGGGGAAATGCGATTGGGTTTTTAGTGTGTTTGTTGAGGGGGTGGAAATAGATGACGAGTTGTTGGATGGGCAAGATGGACGATTTGAGGGTTGTAATGGGTTTGGAGAGGCATTGATTGGGGAAGGTGAGGTCGGGTGAGGTTGGATGGGATGAGAGTGAGAAGCTTGTATTGGGGGGTTGGAAGGGAATAAGAATGGTGTTAAGAAGATGGGCAACTGCATGTTTAATTGGGGGAAGGGGGGGGAGAGGTTGGATACATGGAAATTTGAAAAGGAATGTTTGGTGGTTCGTGCCAAGGGGAGATTAGGGGAATGGAGGAGGGTTGGTCATGGAGCGGTTATCGCGATGCACCACGAAGCCGGGGACCCGAGTTTGATTCCCGCTGACGGTGAAAACCAAACACGATTAACTGAACCCTTCCTGGACCTCCCCATAGGTAGACTCCGCTTCAAATGAGTACCTGGTGCGGTGTGTAAACATCGCCACGAGGGAGACAAAGGCAGCCGGGGGTGGGTGGTGCTGCCCGTGCCGGACAGTTTGTTAATGCTGTACGGGGATGTTTGTCTTTTTGGAGTAGGGTTGGAGAGTTGTAGGATAAGGAGGCCTGGGAGGTTATGGGTGATAATAATAAGTTTAATTATATATTGACAAAAGGCGCGCTTTTGTTTAGTCTATTCCCTTTTGTTATGGCTTCTGTATCCGTGTTGTTCAGTTTGGTAGCCTTGTTATTATTCGTGCGAGGAAAGGTGTTTTGGGTTTTTGAATGCGAATGGATGGAGGTGTGTAAGGGCAGTTGGGTTATGGTATCCGGGTACTGTACTACATCTCGGGTTTCTTGGGATTCATCAATGAATGGTACGGTATTGTCAGTCATCCCCTTTGTTTATTTGCCACGTGATGGCCCTTTGAGGGTTTTTGATAAATTGAGACAGTTCACCAAGTAAAGCATTGGGGGGGGGGCGGTGGGTTGTTTATGCCATAATTCAAACAGTTGAGAAAAGTGGGCTACGACAGGGATGGTGGCCGATGTTCAATAAAAATTACCGAGTGGAAAATCCGTATTCTTGTAGAGAGGAACTGAGTTTTCAGGTCCATACGGCGTACAGCCGTTTCAATACGGGCAAAAAATATATATTTGTGTTTCTCCCTCGTGATGGCACTTTGTAGGATGAACGTTGAGATTTGTAAGGGTCCGGGGTGACCAATAAGGTCTGAAATGGTCTGTAATAAGGTGGGCACTGATAAGGGGTTTACAGGTGTGGAGTGGCGTACGAGAGGACACGTTGCACTTGGAGATGGAGCAATGAAATCAGCTTTGGTACAGGCGCATGGTAGATCGCGAGAGATGGTGGCGGCCTTCATCCGGACTTGGATGAACCCAATGGGTGGTGGTGATGAAAGCAATGGAAAGGCGACGATTTCCAACCGTGCGTTCAGTCGAGAGAATATGGAGGCGTATGTTAGTCAATGTGATTATTCACGTACTCGCCTCACTCCTTCGTAACGGTGAATTACTATTATATTCATTAATTTTTTTTGGTTTGTACTGCACGTATGTTGCATTTTAAAAGTAGCGCTGTTGCCAAATGGTAGCCCTAACTATCGCTTGCGTCCACTATTGTATGTCCATTTGTTTACATAGCTGGTTTTGCATTGCCCATTATCCAGCGTGCAGCTCAGAAAAGCATTCTTTTTTTTGTGCCACAATTTTTCGCAATGAAAATCCTAGGGGATAGTGAAATAATTATAGAAAGAGAACGTAAGAGGGAAACAGTTTCAAAGGTCAGCTGCACAAGTATATTTGGAAGTAATAAAAATTATTTTGTTAAGCAAGGTGAAAACTCGAGTCACCAGTATAGTCTCATTTGCAAGTGACCAGGGTCAACAAAATGGCAAAATAAATAGAGGGCAGCAATGAAAGAAATAGAAAGCAGAGCAAAAACAGCTCTTGTCACGTGAGAAATCAATAATATTGAACACAAATATATATTTACTATCGTTAAAGTTGACTCAGATTCTTTTAGACTGATTATAGTACAATTGCTGACATATACGGCAGATACATATATTATGAAAAAAGGGACTGGAGCGGAAGCAGCAGAAAATAGGCTTTCAAACAGTATTGTGGGATAAACTATAAGGAACTAAGTTACATATTTTTTTACGAAAATGTTGGCTATTGAGGACATTGTATTACATGTCCGGAGGCCAAGATTTAAATGGTATGGACGCATGAAAAGAGGCTACTAAAAAAATTATAAAATGCATACAGTGGTACAGCCCGAGTGTGAAACTGGAAGATTGTTGTGAGGACTGAGAATTGTGGAGTGAGACAAGATAGGTGGTTAAAAAATTGTGGAGAATGCTGTGTACAATACATTGATCAACTCAGCGACACCCTGGAGTGGAGGAAGGATAACGATGATTATAATTTAGAGCAGCAGTATATGAATAACATTTTTAATTCCTTATAATCCTTACCACGGCTAACATCAGTTGCAAGTGAGATTTGAACCGGTCCTGATTCTCCCCTTCCAACCTGCACTTACCAGCATGGTGAAGTGTATGGTGAAGCAACCTCCATGACCGACACGTCACGGGGATGCTTGAAACGGTTGTTTGAAAATGGCTGCACTTTACATTAAGTTTTAATATCTGGTGTTTTTTTTTCATGCAGAGTTTCAAACGCCGGTCCCAGGATGTTGCAGCCTCCACGGTTCCCATCAGTACCCCCACCTGGTGGACCTCCACCCAGCGGCCTCCCACCCGGAGGCCCACCTCTAAGTGGCCCCCCAGGGGCAGGGATAAGAAGTGGGCCCCCACCACCACTGCTGCAGGGACCCCCGCCTCCCTTCGGCATGGTGCGCGGCATGCATCCATTTGCGCGGTCGCCTTTCGACCCGAACATGCCGCCAATGACGCCACCGGGAGGGATGCACCCTCCTCACATGCCACCACCGCCACCTCATCTGCAGGCAAGTATATTTGTCATCATTAGTGCCGAAGCAATTTATGAAAAAGAATAATATGAGTGTTTCATAATCTTTCAAAAATTATTTGGTTACTTATTGTGTTATTATATGGTCGGCAGCATTGGACGGTGCAGAAAAACATTTAATTGGATTGTATTTTCATTGTTTCCCACCTTCAACCTGCATTGACCAGTGGTGAATTATTGTCAAATAACTCCATAGCCTACATAGCCTGGGGAGGCCCTCATCAAGCAGTGGATTGGCAAAAAGGCTGTACATGTACACTTATATTTTGATGTATATCAGATTTCTGCTTTCATTTTAAGTAATCTTCAGAAGTGTCAATGTGCTGATCGAACTCCAAATTTCACAGAGACCACCGTTTATGGGACATCCGGGAATGGCGGTGCCCCCTGGAATGTTGTTCCCACCTGGAGTGATACCTGGTGGCGCTCGTGTACCAACGCCCTTGGCAGCTGCTAACCAAACTCAAACGTCGACGCAGCCGCAAACTCAGCCCCAGAACGTGGTCACACAGGCCCCAGGAACGACCACATCTGTCGGCCAAACTTCCACGCCATCCCACGCTCCTGGGCTGGTGGCGACTTCGGCAATGGTTCTCAATGCCGCAGTGGAGGAGATATGGGTTGAAAATAAGACTCCTGATGGGAAGGTATGGCTCTAAAAAAATATACGCACTTTCATTTATGAAATGCAAACGTAGAGTAATGTAGATCTTTTTTTCCCAAATAATGTCTTGTAGAATAACAGCATTTGTTTAACAGGCAAGACTGCTGGTGAGACCCAGAAGGTTGAAACCAGTCCAGAGTTTGCCTGATTAAATAAATACCACCTGTAAAACCTTTTGTTTGAAGGGCCAGTAGACTGATGGACTTTTATATTTCTTTGTGGAGAAATTAACTTTTGTCTCTATATATGCAAACATTTCCTCTCATTGCATGTTTTAGTTTTTCACAACCAAACATTGGATATAATGCACGTCTGATTAACTCGTTATTTCCAGGCTTACTTCTATAATGCACGGACAAGGGAATCCCGCTGGACGAAGCCAGATGGAGTTAAGGTTGTGCAACAGTCGGAGCTTCCGATGGTCATGGAAGCACTGGCGAGTCAAGTGGCGGCTGCAGGACAAGTCTCGGCAGTGAATCGTGCAACAGCCGCTGGTCAGGAGCAGGCAGGAGTCCAACAGAACCAGGCTCTCCATCATCAACCCGCGAGCACGGCCGCTAATACAGCAAGCCCAAGTATGTCACGCCCAGCCGTAGGAACCAGCAGTAGCCATGTTCCATCTGCGTTGCTGCCCACCCCTGCCACACCTGCCCAGCAAGGCCTTCTTCCCACTCCTTCAGGGAATGCCCCACCTGGTCTGCTGCCAACTCCAAACTCGTCTCCTACCGCCTCTGCAGCTGGAAGTAACACTGCACGGGCATCTTCTGTACAGACCACAGCAAGTAAGCTCTCATACACTTTAAAAGTGTGCAGGGACAACTTTACATTTTAAGTATGTTATGGCTAACGGTGTTCTCTCGGCCATTTCCGTTGAAAGAAGCCTTTGTACAATAAGCTGACGCCCATACGCAAATTATTTTTGTATTTTAATAAATGTTGGGTCTTATGTCATTTTTATGGTGAATGTGGTTAGGCCAAACAGGCAGCCAGACGGGCATTGCCATTACCCACACTGTTTCTGGGTTATCAGCTCAGACAGGAGCTCCAACACGGGCCACGATCTCAGTGGTGGCACCTCCCATGCCAACCTTCCCTCCAGGATTGGTGCCTCCTTTCAGAATTCCCATCCCAGGAATGCATCTCCCACTTCCTGGTAAGCGGCTTACATGCGCACATGAACAATTCATTTTAATTTGTATGAAAATTACTGCATGTTCTTTGCTAATAAAAAAATGGCCATTGCTTGAAATGTTACCTGTGATATTTTTTTCCTCTTTAAGCAGTGTTATTGAAAATGTAGTGCTGTTATCACAGGTTATTTTTGTTTAATACCATGTACAAAACTTGTATTAATTATTCATGGTAATCGATTCGTGTTGGAACATTGTAGTACAATTACACAGTCTTTTACAACCCTGTTGGTGGTATAGGTCTGATTGCAGGCATGCCACCACCACTAGTGCCCATGATGCCGCCGCCAGTGGCCGTGGCAGTGGCCATTTCCACGCCGCAAGGCCTCGTGCTGCCCCAGCCATCGGCTGAGTGGACAGAGCACAAAACGGCCGATGGGCGCACGTACTACTACAACATCCGTACGCTCGAGTCCACCTGGGAGAAGCCTGCCGAGCTCAGGGAGAAGGAGAAGAAGGGTGAGCCTCTGCCCAAGATACATCTCAATCACCACGTTCCATAATTTCGGGTGAGCAACACTGTTTGTGCTCCGAGAACGTGATCCTCTGAAGTGCTGCTGGCACAACTTGTCAAAAAAAAAATCATGTAGTGGCGTGCTATGTTCGAAGCGATGCATTTGTTGGTCAGATAAATCTAGGTGGCAGCGTACTGGCTCGTTATTAACGCATTGCATCTATGGAGGCAGCAGGACGTGGCGGTGGCATTAAATATTGCTGTATTATGCATAGGTGGGTAGTGTCTATTCCACTTTCTTGACGATGTTAAAACATGTTTCAGTTTAAACAGGAACATCCATTAGTAATTAGGTTTAACATTGAATGACCACCTCTTTTGTGCTGTAACATTCGTAGTGCCTTTTTCTTCTAAAAATATGACTTTGACATAACCGGAATGATGGGGCTGCCTTTGTGGGCAGCAGAGGGCAGTGCAGCAAAATATATACAGTAAAACCTTGGATTGCGAGCATAATTCGTTCCGGAAACGTATTTGTAATCCAAAGCACTCGTATATCAAAGCACTCGTATATCAGTTGTGATCACGTGACGCTCGGCAGACAAAGCGTATATGTACTACTCGTATTGCAAGACCTTGCTCGTTTATTAAATTAATATTTATTTAGCATTTTTGCTCGTTTTGCAAAACACTCTCGCAGACCAAGTTACTCGCAATCCAAGGTTTTACTGTATATTGTTGTGCTCTACATCTTTTTTCTCACATGTGCTCCCCACCTTCACTCCACACTGACCAGCATGGTGAAGTATGGTCATTTAATCCCCACGCCCCACATGGTGTGGGGAGGTCCTCATCCAGTGTAGTGACTCGATAAAATTAGTTGTCTATTTGCATATACAATTGGGAACTTTATCACTGGTACAAGTCACGGTAGTAGTAGCTATTATGTCGCTTCACTTTTTGTTACGTTATGTGTATAATGTGGAAAAAAAACTACGAGTTGAAGAGGTATTGCCTTGGGTGTTGTGTGTTGCATATTCGGAGCATGTGGGGGTTTCCTGTGTACTCATTGACTATTTGTTTCAGCACAAGAGAAGGATGCGGAGAAGAAAGAGCAGTCGCCAAAGGAAAAGGATGGAGAAGACATGGAGGTGGACGGTGAGAAGACAGAAAAACTCGAGGTGAAGCAGGTGAGGGGGCCAGTCTTGCATCGTCGCACTTTTCTCTTTTTACGTATTCTGTCTTGGTATATTTAGATTGAATTTCGATTTAAAGCTTTCGTGACTGCAGGGATTCATCTTCTTGGTTCTTTCGGTAAAGTCACGTAGAATGGAAATAATAAAATAATAAAAATTAAACATAATAAAATAATTCTCACGACGTTTCGGCCACAACGCAAGCAGCCGTCCTCAGGTGGAGAACAGGTAAGTCTGGGGTGTGTCATTCAGACTTTGTGTCATTCAGACTCTGTCTTCTCGACAGACCTGTTCTCCACCTGAGGACGGCTGCTTGCGTTGTGGCCGAAACGTCGTGAGAATTATTTTATTATGTTTTATTTTTATTATTTTATTATTTCCATTCTACATGACTTTACCGAAAGAACCAAGAAGATATTTAGATTGCTTTGTGCATGCCGGTTTTTGTATTACAAAAAATATTAACATACACGTGCTTGTTTGAGTTTGTCATCTAGAGACTGATGATTTAAAACAAGGAATTTATTTACGTATTTGATCTAATGCACTTGTTTAATTCACATGTTTCAAAATAATTTTCATCATCATCAACAACAACTTTAAACCAGGTGAGACCTGTTTCACAAAGCAATTGTAAACTAACAGTTGAAACAACATCACAAAACTCAGAACAAAAGAAAAATTAAACAATGAACAACAATAGCCCACTGCTCTAGAAAATTAATAACCCATATATAGTTTCCGGCTACGGCTAACATCAGTGGTAAGAGATATCTGTATCTTGGCTCCCCCTTATTGTCCAGAAATGGTGAAGTATGGTCTAAGTTTCCCCGTAACTGACACGCCATGGTGTTAATGGCTTCCTTGCAGCAGTGGATGGACATGGAGTTGTTGGAATATTTTTTTTTAAACTAAATTCACGAGAATGCATTTAGCTCCGTGGAGTATAGTGTCTGTATCCCCTTGCATTAATGTCCTCGTGTTTATGTTGAAAGCCGGAGCCCCAGCAGGAGGAACTGACAGAAGAGGAGAGAGCGGCACAAAAAGCCAAACCCATAGCTACGACTGCGGTTCCGGGCACCCCATGGTATAACGAGCTCGCTTTCCGTCACCCACCTCCCATGGTATAACTCTATTTCCCTCAAACTTTATATTCTGATATATCGTAGTAATTATTTTTTTTTGCCTGGTGATGTGAAAACAAGTTTCCCTTAATCAGTAAAGTCTCTCTCGTCGGAAGCGGCCTCTTTGAAATAAAGCGATTAGAACGGGTTGATTAATTAATCCTTTTCTATCGCTTTGTTTCATTAAGGCTGACTTCTTTTCTGGTAAGTCGTTCAACTGGTGAAAATGGTGTTTTCACATCACAGACTTAGATGTTGCTTGTACATAGGAAATGAAGAAAAGAATACATTTTGGCATGGGTGTGCCTTGCGGCTTGCTTAATTTCATAAGAAATTGCGGTGCAAAATGGCAGAATCTGGAGCGGTATTTATAGTTGTTTCCTGTACAGTAATATACATTGTCTGGAATTGTTATCAATGTAGTTTAATATGCACATTTTGATCATTGCATTTATGTGTGGTAAACCAACCAAAAAGCTGTCTGGTTGTAACCATCAATTTTAGAGGGGGTTGATATTCTAAGAGAGTTGGACCTCGTTATTAATTTATATTCTACGTTTAATAATCTTTATTTACTGACAAAATGTAACATGACAAGTATCGGGTAACATACCTGTTGACACGTTGTTGTCACGCACATAAATGAGAGAATAGAAAACCTGTCGCGTCGGTGTACTTGCCTACGAGTTAGTAGTGTGTGTGGTGGTGTTGACTGAAATACAATCACACCATGACGGTGAGGCTGTTGGTGCCCTGCCCTGCAGGTGTGTGGTGTGGACAGGTGACGAGCGAGTCTTCTTCTTTAACCCGACGACACGCCTCTCCATGTGGGAGCGCCCCGAGGAGCTCGTGGAAAGAGCGGACGTGGACAGGATCATCCAGAGTCCCCCGCACAAACAGGGCAGGGAGCCCGAAAAGCCACCAGGTGAACTACCCGCAAGGTGGTATACGCCGCTTGTAATCCAGCGCTTGGGAGACCAGGGTTGATGAAATACATAGTTTTGTGACTCCCCCAACCCACTGGACTTGAATAAGAAGATGGCAGTACAGCAAATGGGTTCCTGACCTTTATGTATGGACCATTTTAGTGCTAGAATCTTGTATGCATGGGTGTGTGTATTTTTGTAGTCTGCAGTTTTTCCACATTCAAAACTTGTATAGTTTATGGTGGCAGAACATCTCAATGTTGAACCCAAATAGAAAAAATAGCCTTAAGACTTGATGCTTTATCTCACTAAATCAGGAATGCATTTTATGAATGTTTGACTTTCTGTCAGTGTTATGTAACAACCTAATAATACCAGTCATATATATGTTGTAACGGAAGCCAAAAATAAGAGGTTGATGTGAAAATAGTAACTTGTTACCTTGGATTATTTTCCTTGCAGGAGAGATGTGGTTACTTTTGGAGGCATTCATCTATCAGTTGGATGGATCATGTTTGATGATAATGTTACCTTTATAAACGTTCATATCCTGCAACAGATGAATTTCTTCCTGCTATGAATGCTTGTTTGTTTAACTTTTTTGCAGAGAAAGAAGAAAAGCCAAAGGTTGAAGAACCAAAGCCTTTGGAGGAAGAAAATAAGGCGAAAAAGAGAAAGTGAGTGATTTTTGCGGCCTCGTTTTGGTATGTCGCGAGTAAACGTAGGACTTGTGTTATACCAGGTGAGATGTTAACTAACTCGCCTGGTATACAGGAGGTCATAGGTTCGATCCCGATGTCTGACTTCTGTTGTATATTTAGAGTTTGCATGTTCTCCCCGTGGTCACGTGGATTTTTCTCCAGATCCTCCAGTTTCTCCTTCCACATTTAGAAACGTGTGTTTAGAATAGTTGGCTGCTATAAATTTACACATGGTAAGCCACTTCGTCGAGTTCTCATTTGTGGCCAGGTCGCTTCTGAAAAAGAGCTACATAGCTCAGTGGGCTTTACATGTTAAAATGAAAATAACTTTAGTTTTGTGTGAGAGCAAAAGGTATACCTCTTGATGTTTGTGGCCACACAGGCTGGAGGAGCCGGAGCCGGAGAAGGAGGCGTCCATGGAAGCGGAGATCCGTGCGGCAAGGGAGAGGGCCACACTACCGCAGGAGACACGAAGTCAGCAGTTCAGTGAGATGCTGTTGCAGAGAGGGGTAAGCGAGGGAGTGATTGTGCAACTGGCCAGTATTGCATTCACATTCTCTTTTCCTTCCACTTGGCGTCATGACTGGAATGTTCACCATTGTGCTAGCATTCGTATATTTTTTTGGTAATTTAATGACGAGATGTTTTTTTACTTGGCATCTTTTTTCTTTCCTTATAAACACGTTAGTGTTTCGATACTTTTGATTTTCAGATTTACAGAAATGTCAGCACGTTTCAGTGTTTTTGAGTATTAAACATCCTAGAATTATAAAAACACTTTTTATGTGTGTAGGTTTCTGCTTTCTCTACTTGGGAAAAAGAACTCCACAAAGTGGTGTTCGACCCACGCTACCTTCTTTTGAATCCAAAAGAGCGCAAACAGGTAAGTGATTGTGATACTATTTTTTAGTATATTACACAACTACTATGGTTGCTGATCGATTCATTTACTTTCAAGCTAACAAGCTAGATCTCGATGTGCTCTCGTTTCAGGCGTTTGACGAGTTTGTAAAAGTGCGAGCAGAGGAGGAGAGGAAGGAACGAAAGAACAAAATGATGCAGATCAAAGACGACTTCAAGAAGTTACTCGAAGATACCAAGGTGACATCCAGGTGTGTCATTTTTCTTTTGAGCTTTGGAAAGGACGTAACTATGTTTTTAACGATGACTTTTCTAAATATGCAACACAATTTGAACACAGTTTGCGCCTATATTTCCATATGTTTAACAGATTGTGCATGTATGTGTCAGTGTGTTTTAATATTGTGAGTTTTCCATGTTTTTGCAGATGGTTCCTTAGATATGCAATGATGTTCACCTTGCTCTGTACGTGTGGTTTTTTGTACATTATGTAACGCAATGCAAAAACAAACGCTGCAGGTCGAACTTTAGTGAGTTTGCCGCCAAGTTTGGGAAGGAGTCGCGGTTCAAGGCGGTGGAGAAGATGAAGGATCGCGAAGCTCTGTTCGTCGAATATGTCACAGCCTTGAAGAAGAAGGAGAAGGAAAGTGCCAAGTCCAAAATGGAGAAAGTAGGATCCTTTACTATTATTTATAATGCTGTTTTTGTTCCACGAATGTGGTTCCGTTACTCTTTTTATGACGGTAGTCTTACCGCAAACGTAGTTAAATAGAGTAACTATGGTGCAGCATTGGTCACGGATATTCTTTGTATTCAATACATTGTTTATAATGTTTAATTCGTTTTGTCTTTTACATGTCCTTTTTATAATGATTTGTTTATCGTAACTTGTCAACAAACAGCAAAGCCCTGTGGATTACACCGACGATGCTCCAATGTTTTGCCATGCACATTGATGTAAGTGCGGCGATTTGATGCTCCCTAAAGTAATTTTTAACATGATTGTGTATAATGATGTTTGCGTTACGATTTTAAAGAATTTCTATGCAAAATAACTTGATAACCGTTTTGTGTTATTCTGTCCCATGGCTGAAGAGATCTTTGCAGTCATGTGCTGTGCGGCCTGTCACTCGGTTAAAGTCTGACCGCAGTCACTGAGCGAGCGCAAGCAGTTTGTGGATTTCCCTAGTGAGGAGCGCACGTTGTCTGTGTGGTGAATGTAGCCACCCACAACACTGGTACTACACTCTCTTTTCTATTCAGTGTATTGGACACGTTTTTTTTTTATATTTTGCTATTATCCTTCTCTGAAATTGATATGGCTTTATAACAAATACACGTTTGTTAAATATTTTAAATGTTAAATATTGTTGTTTTGACTCCGATAATCTTTTGTGTGCTTGCTAAAACAAAAATGTCCACAAACAGTCGGTCCATGGCCAGGTTAAATCCATAACTGCAAAAACCATACAATTATCTGTGGACACATTTCCATCATTCGAACATATTAAAAGTGAACAGCAGAGGAACACAAGATTAACTTGGAATGTGTGTTTGCATGTTTTCGTAAAGAGATTTGGCTGGGTGGATGTTTCATAATGCACAGTAAGGCAATTTCTGCATGCACTGACCCCTGTACGTCTTGTGTTTGTTTTTATTTTGGCGGCGCACCGGATAGGTGCGCGGTGACTATTTCGGCCTGCTGATGGAGCAGCATCTGGACGGGCAGTCACGCTGGACCAAGGCAAGGGAAAGGATGGAGGGTGACATGCGATTCCAGGCCGTCGAGAGCTCTGGCCAGCGCGAGGAGTGGTTTCGACAGCATGTCGAAAAACTGGCAAAGGTAGCATGCGATAAATCACGTTTAGTGCCCAAGTTGTGCTCTTAATGTTCTGCGTTGGTTATTGAGCAGCGAAGTTTCATTTGACAACGACTAACAACATATATTAATAAATGAGACTACCGCAAAATAATCATAGTCTCCATCAGACTATAATCCCTTTACTGTAGTTGAAACATCTCATGAAAATATAAGCTGGTTTTCCCCAACTAATCTACAGTAAGAGAATTGGAGTCTTCAGTCATTATCTCCTTTATGTAACGTTCTAATCGTCTCGATTGTTAATATATATATGCTAGTGCACTCCAAATATTTCCATGAGTATTTATGGTAGTCCCAGCTTGCCTCACTTATGTTCAGAGTTTCACGTGTTTGCATAAGTTTTTGACGAAACGTCCAAGCTCGCCCCGTTGCAGTTTTCGTACGCTAGAGCGCCACTCACGACTTTTGGGGGGATGTGTTCTCCCGGCACAGGCCGGGGACTCTGAGCGCGAGCGGGAGCTGGAGCGGCAGGCGCGCACGGAGGCAAGCCTGCGTGAGCGAGAGCGCGAGGTACAGAAGGCGCGATCGGAGCAGACGCGCGAGATCGACCGCGAGCGGGAGCAGCACAAGCGCGAGGAAGCCATCCAGCACTTCAAGGCTCTCCTGTCCGACATGGTGAAATGACTCATTCCCATCGCCGAGGCTCGATTGACGGCCAATTTGTGCCTTTCCTTACGTGCGGCTTGAAAGGGAATGATAACGTAACGCCACATACATGTTTTTGTTTAATGTCAAAACAAACTTCATGCATTGCCCTGTGGAAAGTTTTCATTTTTAAGCTGAGAAGGCAATGTGACCAAAAAAATGTATATGCATGTATGTATGTATGAGACACAGATCTATATAGTAGAACATTACATATACCCCAGAGAACGTATAATTTTGGGATTAAGAGTATGAAAGTACAGATGGCACAATTGAATGAGCAGCCATTGCCCTTGGCGGTATGAAAATTGGAAAAGTCCCAAAATAGATTAAATAACTGTATGAACGTCATTAAAAAAAAATCAGGAACAAATTAACCGGCACCTTTACAAATTTTTTAATATAGAAATGGAATACCGCAATCGTAAATTGATGCTTCAATTATATTCACAAAAAATAAGACAAAACTGAATTTATGGATTACAGACCCTTTCATGTACATTAATTTTTCTCGAGAATCATAGAAACCGCATAATGGTGGGATTAAAGGTCAATCAGCCAAGCGATTGAACTAGATTTCCATGCGCCACATATATACTATCAATGAGATATGAATGCCAAATAGACTATAAAAAGGAATTTGATGAAGTGGAAATAGATGAATCGTTAAAGGTCTCAAAAACCAAAACATTATACAAATTGTGTAGATGTTATTAAAACCATTTATAAAGGTAGAACATCTACACTGAGATTACATTAACGCAGTAACAATATAAATCACAAGATGAGTTTGATAGCGAGATTGCCTTTAACAATGTCTTTTATAAAAGTATGTTTTTCCTAAAATCAGACTGGATACATTTATACATTAACATAAATGGATATGTTAATCACATCTTATTACCAATGGAAATAAACTACAGGGTATGATTAAAGAACTTAAAAGTGAAGGCTTCAAAGTCACGCACAAAATAATCTAGAAAAGCAAGTCACATTCAACAAGCTCGCGAAATAATATTCTGTAGAGATGCTAATGGGAAATACAACAGAATACTTATGCCTATAGCAGATATTTAAAGCGTATCAATATCAAACGTATAAAATAAAGAAGCCGATGAGAGCAGTTATTGAGCTTTTGGAAATTCTAATGTGATAACCAAAAGCAAGAATTGAATCTTGATTTGAAGCTTTCGTGACTGCTGAGGCATTAACATCATGCTAATCTCTCACATTAACATAGCCACTTCCGTGCCCTCTTAATTTCTCACATTAACATCATGCTAATCTCTCACATTAACATAGCCACTTCCGTGCCCTTTAATTTCTCACATTAACATCATGCTAATCTCTCACATTAACATAGCCACTTCCGTGCCCTCTAATTTCTCACATTAACATCATGCTAATCTCTCACATTAACATAGCCACTTCCATGCCCTCTAATTTCTGACATTAACATCATGCTAATCTCTCACATTAACATAGCCACTTCCATGCCCTCTAATTTCTGACATTAACATCATGCTAATCTCTCACATTAACATAGCCACTTCCATGCCCTCTAATTTCTCACATTAACATCATGCTAATCTCTCACATTAACATAGCCACTTCCATGCCCTCTAATTTCTGACATTAACATCATGCTAATCTCTCACATTAACATAGCCACTTCCATGCCCTCTAATTTCTCACATTAACATCATGCTAATCTCTCACATTAACATAGCCACTTCCGTGCCCTCTAATTTCTGACATTAACATCATGCTAATCTCTCACATTAACATAGCCACTTCCATGCCCTCTAATTTCTCACATTAACATCATGCTAATCTCTCACATTAACATAGCCACTTCCGTGCCCTCTAATTTCTGACATTAACATCATGCTAATCTCTCACATTAACATAGCCACTTCCATGCCCTCTAATTTCTGACATTAACATCATGCTAATCTCTCACATTAACATAGCCACTTCCATGCCCTCTAATTTCTGACATTAACATCATGCTAATCTCTCACATTAACATAGCCACTTCTGTGACCTCGTCGAGGAGGCCGCTTTTTTTTTCTGCAGTTACCTGCTAATATCTCAAATTAACATCACTAGCCCCGGCCACTTCTTTGACCCTTGGGCTACACCCATTTCAAACCTTTGAAAACCGTCTGCCTCAGCAGCGACCACGCTTTCCCACCTGATGACGGACGCTTGTGGTGCGCCCGAAACGTCGTGATTTATTTTATTTTATACCTACGTGACTTTACCGAAAGAACCAAAGAGCAAGAATTTCATATGTACTTGATGACCCAGCTTTGTAGGCTTGAAGTGCTATAAGTGTACCTCGTGATATAAATTATTTCAAAGCGTAGCGTAAACATTGCATCTTATTTGCTATTGAAGGTGCGCTCTTCAGAGGTTAATTGGGATGAGACGCGGCGATCGCTACGCAAAGACCACCGCTGGGAGCTGGCCTCATTACTGGACCGTAGCGAGAAGGAGAAGTTGTTCAAGGAGCACGTTGATGCCTTGTCCAAGCGCAAGAAGGAGCAGTTCAAGCAGCTCTTGGATGAAACTTCGGAGGTGAGTAAACATTCACGTCACGTGCAGCATATTGCCACATTCGAGAATGAAAAATGTAAGCTTATTAAGACTGCCAGTGGCTCCACATGCAATCCAGAATCAACTTTAAGATCACACCATCTTCATTCTAGGAGAGTCGGTCAATATGGTTTTGTTCCCAAAAAACCCATTGACGTAGTAAATTGAATAGGTAATGTTTGCGTGATTTAATGGAAATTAAAACATCTAAACACTCATACATTTTTAAAGAATTTATTTAATTTAGCACTATTCGCATTCCTGCATTTCCCATAAATATGCTAAATTCCTCTTCAAATGCAAATTCTTTTGCCAAGGCTCTCTTGCTCCTCCCTCACAGCTTAAATAGACACCCCAAGCCTAAGACGTGTCATTTAGACTCTGTCTTATCGACAGACATGTTCTTCACCTGAGGACGGCTGCTTGCGTTGTGGCCGAAACGTCGTGAGAATTATTTTATTGTGTTTTATTTTTATTATTTTATTACTTCCCTTCTACGTGACTTTACCGAAAGAACCAAGAAGAATTTATTTTAATGTTTCATTAACATGGTTTGCGACTGACAGTGAGTATGTGTGTGTGTGATTGATGCAGATAACGTTGACGTCCACATGGCGTGAAGTCCGAAAGCTGATAAAGGAGGACCCACGGTGTTCAAAATTTTCATCCAGTGACCGGGTGAGCAAACCTTCAATTTGAACTCTTTTCCACTTTTGCTCAAATTGTGTACATGATAATTGTTTTTGGACTTCATTGTGTCATAATGTATCACACACTCTAAGGCCCGCTGCTGTTTCTCCTGTATTTACTCGTACAGAAAAAGGAACGTGAATTTGACGAATACATTAAAGAAAAAATGGTTGCAGCCAAAGCCGAGTTCCGAAATCTACTGAAGGAAACCAAATTCATCACTTACAGGTAGGTCCAATGTCTCTTCACACCGTGCTGGTGAAACGGGTTCAACCTTCTTATGGGTCTTGCCTATCATTCCTGCTTTTGGAGTTTCATATTTTGCATGTATTTCTTGCTTGTACATTTTGAGGGGAGAAATAATAACCACCAACGTTATCGTAGAGATGTTTATAGAGTTGAAATTGTTTTTACGGATAAACGGTGTCTATTCTATTTATATACTGCACACATTTGTGGAACGTAATAATTTAGTAGCGTTAACGTAGGGTTAGTAATAAATAAGCTTTGCCAATTGCGGTTGTTTGAACAATCAGATTTGGTGACATGTAATATTTTGAAGTTTGCGAACAAATAATTATAAAACTTCACTCTTTATTTGAGTGGCTAGAAGATACCAGCCCAGAAAATGGGTTTCATGAACACAAATTATGTGCACCTTTGAGTGTTTTCCAGTTGTATATATAAATGGTTCTTTCTGGGAACTCCAGGAATCTTCCATGCAATATGTTATTCAAAAAATAATTTGCTAAAGATCTCAATGCAGGACCCTTCCACAAAGAATTTGACACTCGGGTATGAGGCCTTGCTTCATAAATAAGTAACAATATATATATCCGTGGCGTGCACGTCTGCCGTTTTCAGGTCACGCAGGATGATTGAGGACACGGAGCATTTGCGGGACATCGAGAAGGTCCTGCAGAATGACAAGCGCTACCTGGTGCTGGAGTGCGCGTCTGAAGATCGGCGCAAGATGATCTTGTCCTACGTGGAAGACCTGGACCGACGTGGGCCACCACCGCCCCCAACCGCCTCCGAGCCCACACGCCGCTCCAACAAATAAAGCACTCGCATGTTCTCTGTAAGGCCCGGCCGTTCCCCCCCCCGCCCCGCTAACTGTTTTCGTGTCCCATTTACATCACAGCCATCGTCCAAAAACAAACTGCCTATATCTGTGAAATTGGAGCAACCCTCGGCTTGAATTTAAAACGTGTTTTTTTATTTAAAAACTGAAGTGTCTCTAAGCCCACACTGGTGTACAAGTTGTAGTTATTTTGTTTTTAGCAGTTGAAAAAAAAACCTTAAAACACACTCATTGACAATGTGCTCTCCATTTTTTTGTCATCTCCCTTGTGTCAGAGGCAATGTTCGAGTTTTGCAAGAATTTTTGTATATCTGCCATTAACACCACCAATGATCATATTAACATCACAAAACACAGCTTAAATTCAGTTATGGATTTCCCAGTGTGCTATTACATCAGGTTTAAATCTTTACAAAGGAAAACTATATCCAGAATTGTGATGAGGCATGTACATTCATTCATTGTTTGGCTTATAGTACTTGCTTTGGAGAGAGGTTTATATTGATGCATAGCATAAGACGTTTTTGTTGCTTCTGACACCTTTAAAATGCAAGCACATATTTGCGACTAATATGTGAAAGGCAAATGTGTTTACTTAACTATGCGCATTAAGATTTCACAGATTAAGTTAAATTGTTTTTATCAATGGGTCTAAAATACACAGCATAATTACATGGAGTGGCTGCTGTTGAAGTTCATGTTTGTGTTCACAATATCACAAGGTGATTATTGTTGAGGGGTTGTGTTGAACCATTGCTGGTGTACCATGACTGCAGATGTTGAAAATTAAAACTTTTTCGTATGTAATAAAACGGTGTCATTTGATTTATTTATTATTGCAACCGCCACAATAGTAATTTTAATCTGAGCTGTAATTGAAAATAAGTTGTACATTTTCATACCAAACTAAAGTCCTGTTTTCTTTCCTACAAGAAGCAATATCGGTCAAGCATGATTTTACTGGTAGGAACCTCCTGGTTACACCAGCCCATAGGGGATTGTTGTGTCCGTCCTTCGTGCATCAAAAAATGGGAGGGGTGGGGCTGGGTGGAGAGGGAGGGGCTGGGAGGGTGGGGAAGGGCTGGTCACCCCGTGGTGCCCTGATAAAACTCAACGTTTAACCTACTCACGCCGGCTTGTGCCCGCCCTCGGGCATATTTGCGGAATACACCACGCCGCCGTTGACCCTGGCCATTGACCGAGTAACCCAAAGTTCCTACTAGCTCCCTCCGCAGGAATGTGTTTAAACTTCCCATTTGACAACTTTTCCCACGAGATTGCAAGTGTATTTAAATATGGGAATATATTTTTCATGGAAATTTCAATTCATAGCTGCATGTGAACATGCGGAGGCGTAAGATACTCTAGAAAAGACGTATGTCATTTTCATCTTAAGTGTTCCACGGTGCAACGAAAATGTAATTTGTACAAATGCTGACAATACTACACAAAGTATCTAATAAGCGGTGAAGCACATTCGTTGCTGAGCCACGTTTTATTGAATTAGTAATTTGAAAGAATATATTACGAATGTGGTATTTTGTGAATGTTCACAACTGCAAAGAATGCGATGGATAATCTGATCACTTGGCTTTGCTCTGAGCTTGTCCACTATAATTGACATTGGGTAGGTGTGCCGTTGAAGGGTTTGTGGGGAAATCTCAAAGGGATTCCCATTTTATTGCATAAACGGATGGATTGTGTTTGACCAGTCCATGATAAAGGGTCATTTGAGTCACAACCGATCCCTCTGGTTGTCCATAAATATTTCAGATTGTTATAGGCCATACATTAGCAGCCTAAAATAGTACGATTTTCATATTGAGATTTTTTTAATACACTGCCAAAACATTGGTTATGCAACATTTTTCTGGGAAATGCGGTTGGGATTGAAAAGTAGTCTTGAAATGGACATGTTTTGACCGGCGTTGCCAGTTACATTTATATATTTCTCCTTACTGAAAACTTACAATTGGAAACAAGGTCGAAAATTATTTAGATATGTTTACAATATTGACAATCATGCATGTTATTAAATCTTACAATAAACAAGTTAACATTGCCTAAATTGTAAATGTTAAAAACATGACGATGTATTTTATTTCGGTGGATACAAAGTTATGTTGAATTGACTGAATATATTCCCAAACAATTTGACATTACAAGTCAAGACTTCATATAAATTACAATATGCAGAATACATCCTGCATATAATCCTAAACAGACTGGACCAGAGTCACTTGCTTCTAAGCCGAGTTGTCCTTTTCCAAAATTGTATCCCCATTGTGCTCTCATCACACCGCGAGGCAAATTGTGCACTTGTTAGAGAATTTCCGTTGGAAGTGGATACGACAGAGCTACCTCCGATTCCTTTTCGTGACCTCTGGTTTACACAATAGGGGGGAAGCACATCAACTGCCCTGCCACATAGCTAATGTCAATCACTTAACAGTCAAACTGATATCTATATTCCCTACAAATGGAATTTGCCTAAATTAATTTCAGAATAAAATATTTTGGTATTCTTGGTTCTTTCGGAAAAGTCGCGTAGAAGGGAAATAACATAATAAAAACATAAAACAATAAAAATTATCACCACGTTTCGACTGCAACACAAGCAATCATCATCAGGTGTAAAAGCCACCGCAAGAAATTTAGAAAAAAGTGGCGGTTTTTTCCGAACGTGGGATTTCACACCTGATGATGATTGCTTGTGTTGCAGTCGAAACGTGAGAGTTTTTATTGTTTGATATTTTTTTTATAATTTCCCTTCTACGTGACTTTACCGAAAGAACCAAGAATATGAATCCCTGCAGTCACGAAAGCTTTAAATCAAAAAATATTTTGGTGTTGGGTTTTTGTTATCATGCAGTCATTGGTGACCGGGCTGAGACCAACACGCGGCACAAGTTTAACCACGAGGCTTGTATCAACAGCGGACCCGGTCACCTCAGCCAGATTCAAAACTGTTGAAAAACGACCTTGACAATTTATTACATTCATGGCAAAGGAGCCATTGGCGATGTGTTTACCGGTCACAAGTTAGGACTCAAGCTCCCAAAGATACAGCACCGTGAAGCTAAACATCGGTCATCATATCGAACAAACAAGACCCGATTACAACCGCCCACCCCCGCATCGGAGAGCTAATCACGCCATTCAATCCAGTCAGCCTTCCTACGCAGCTCACTCAACTAAACACACTTTCATCTTCTTGGTTCTTTCGGTAAAGTCACGTAGAAGGGAAATAATAAAATAATAAAAAATAAAACATTATAAAATTCTCACGACGTTTCGGCCCCAACGCAAGCAGCCGTCCTCAGGTGAAGAACAGGGCTGTCCTCTAACCCAGCTTAAATATACGCTGCCAAGCTTGGTGGTGGTGTTCATTCAGACGCTGTCTTTCCGACAGCTCTGTTCTTCACCTGAGGACGGCTGCTTGCGTTGTGGCCGAAACGTCGTGAGAATTGTATTTTACAATGTTTTATTTTTATTATTTTATTATTTCCCTTCTACGTGACTTTACCGAAAGAACCAAGAAGATAGTCACGAAAGCTTTAAATCGAAAATTAAACACACTTTGTTGAGCCACTTGAGGGCGTACGAAAAAAGTGCAGCTTCAAACGACCGAGCGAACCTCGTGCTGTATTGCAATACCGCGCGTCCTGAGTGTTTTAAAGCAGGCCGAGGGGCTCTCAGTACATGAGGACTTCGGTGTTGGTGGCGGGACTTGTGGCTTTGGTGGCGGCCTGCCTCTCCTCCAGATGCACGTTGTGGTAGGCGTACGTGATGGCCATGGACACGGCGCAGCTGAGCAGAGCGCCCAGCAGTAGCCAGTACGGCGTCCCGTAGGTGTAGCCGCTGATGCTTTCCTCCGGGATCAAATCCAGGAATACCTCCGTCATGCCAGACGTCTGTGCCGCCACGGGGAATATGATGAGCGCTAGCAGGCAGCAGACACCTGCACGGGGGGGGGGGGGGGAATGCCACGTGGAGCGAAAATGACATGAAACCCACTCTGTGTCGCTTCTTCTTGGTTTTTTCGGTAAAGTCACGTAGAAGGGAAATCATAAAATAATAAAAATGCAACATAATAAAATACAATTATCACGACGTTTCAGGCCACAACGCAAGCAACCGTCCTCAGGTGAAGAACAGGTCTGTCGGAAAGACAGCGTTCTTCACCTGAGGACGGCTGCTTGCGTTGTGGCCGAAACGTCGTGATAATTGTATTTTATTATGTTTTATTTTTATTATTTTATTATTTCCCTTCTATGTGACTTTACTGAAAAAAGCCAAGAAGATGAATCCCTGCAGTCACGAAAGCTTTAAATCGAAATCTGTGTGGCTTGTCACGGTTTTAACCCCCCCAAAAAATAAAACAACTGGCGCGGTTGCTCCACTTCGGTTGGGACACTGTCGCGTGTTTATTTATGCTGGAATTTCAACTGAGTGTGGTGGGGAGCGGTGTGTGTGTGTGCTGCAGTACGCTGAAGCCTTGTGGATGAGTTTGTAAGATTCCCTGCCGTAGCGAACTAACATCGCGCAGGTTGTGGCAGAACGGCACATTCGCTTTTCCTGAATGGGTGAGCAACGCGCATAAAAATCAGCTTAACACGTAGGAGGATGTCGCGACCAATATCATCCATAATACAGGCTTTTTTGGGTTAGATCGCGTAAGGGGCCGTCCATAAATGACGTCACGCCGATTTTTGACCCCCCCCTCCCCCCCTCGTCACACGGCGTCATAAAAAGTCAGACCCCCCTCAAATATGACGTCACAAAGCTCTGCCCCCCCCCCCAAGCCATATTCCATTTTGAAAATAAAACAAGCTTCAAATCACTTTAAACTGGTGTTATTGTAGTGCGTATTTAATGTGGCGCTGCACTCTGATGTTGTAGGAGAAAACATTTATTAAAATGGAGGCGTTGGAAAGCTGAAATTTAGCATACAATTCACTTGAAAATATTAAACGTCTAACTAAAACTGCAGATGTTCAGAATATTATATTGAAATTCTCTTATAATTATAAAATATAAAAAGTTATTATAACTATAAAAAAATACATGAAACTTCGTAGTAGAACGAAGCAAAATGGAGAGTACAATTATAACAATCACATTAATTCCACAGAATGAAAAGCCCTGGTAGAATCATTAGAATCAAAATGTTTAATAACAATCATTAAAAAAAAATTCTAAATTTATGCTTCTCCATTCTCCCATGGAGAAGCAAAATGCTCCTTCATGGAATAAATTAAAGGTGACCTTAGTAATTTAAATAATCAAATAGTTAATAATGGAAATTATCAAAATTAGTGTTGTTACAACAATTTTATTGTTTATATTTATTGAAAGTTGCGCATTTTGATGTTACGTCACATTTCTCACCCCCCCCTCGTCACAAATGTATTAACCTCCCCTAGGTGTGTGACGTCATTTATGGACGGCCCCTAAATATATAAATGTGTCGTTAAACCCACCACCAGACACAGCCAACTAGTAAGGGTTGTCACGTAAACAGAACGTGCCAATTCGTCACTAAGTACAGCACACCGGTGTGTTGGAGAGCCAAGCCACAACATTTACAATCTGAGTACGACGTTTCGCCAGTAATTACAACTAGCTTCATCAGGCGACAGCCAGATATGTTGAGAAATCCTCCTGTATTATGAACTCGCATAATTGGCGAAAAATATTGGCCGCATTACAGATACAGTTCAGCGTTCACGACGTTTTGAATGTGTTGAGGTCTGCATTCGCACCAGCGAGGTGTAGGGGTTATAGTAAGCAGGTCATCGTACCGCACACAGAGATCCAGATGTAGAGCCCCCGGGGGCCCTGGATGTTGTGGTATGGGTTGGTGAGGCCGTTGATGAACGCGAAGAGACACTTGATCACCGCGAAGAGCACTCCCACGACGAGGAACAACATCTCGAAGGCGTAGGCTACCTGGCTCGTGCCCTTTTCTCCGTCCGTCTTGAACAGTTGATCGATGACTGTCAAATAAGCAACCCGCCACAGCAAAAGTAGGGTTCGTTTTGTGAACGGAGATATATGCGAACAAAAATGTTTAATTCGTGCATGGGTTTCTTTTGTTGGTGTAGGCCGTTTAAACAAAAGGCGTGTCGCAGACAATTCATGAAAGTGTTAGACGAGTCAAACGCACCGACTCTTTTCACTGCATCAGCAGCAACACCGGTGCCGTTCGAGATAGCGATCTCACAACATTTAAATGGAACGCGACATTTCGCTGGTGATTACTTCCATCCATCATCATCATCATGTCATGAGCAAGCGCTCGGATCTCGAGTGAAGGCACCTCCTGACATCAGCGGCACAATCATGCACGAGATGTAGTTTAAGCATTATTAGTGTCGATTGGTTGTGATTATCAAGTTAGGTTCGACTAATAAGGAGAGTCGATTTCGCTGTTGGTGAAAATATCCTTTCCGAAATCATGTTATGTGTCCAGTAATGCGTTGGTCATGAAACTGAGCATTAATCTATTAATTAATGTCATGGGGGTTCGCAACACATATATGTACTGTAACATATCCATGTATGTTATGTATGTTTTGAGTGGGAGAAGATCAAACATGACGACGATTATGATACCCACCAACGCATAACTAACTGGCGAGACGACACCATTGGAACCTCCTTTGCCAGCAACAAAATATGATAATTGGTTTTTTACCCTTTTATCTGGCAACAAAACGTACAACTTTTTTTTACAAGGAGTCATGTTTGCATTGACCACAATACCTGCGGTCGGAATGCAAACAAAAAAATATAACTCTGATAATGTATGCACTGTCCTTGAAATTGATTGGTCCACACCCAAGACAGCTTTTCTTAGAGCCTAGTCTCACATGGTGTTGGACCGGATGACGCCAAAAGGCGAACTCGACAATCTAAATCGGTGCAGGCATTTTTGTTGCAGGCAGAAACAAAACGCTGCTGGGAAGGTCCACGTTTCGATGGTCCGACATTTTACTTTTACAATACAGGGTAGAATAGATCCATATCAATTAATAGTTTCACAGTAATCGAGGTAGCATTATACACATCTGAGCTGCCATTTGTAAAATACTCAAGCGTGTGTGGTTTTCTTTTGATAGAAACTTCATAAAGCAAACACTTTGGAGTTCAATCCATCACGGTGGGCTGTGAGGATCTAAGCTGTAATCCTTCAGAATGAAATTAACAAAACTGATCGTGCTTATGCTTTAACCTGCTCAAAAACACACACACATGTACCACTTGAATTTAATATCAACGGGAACATGTTACAATTGCTGAATATGAGAAGTACAATTATTGAGAAACACTCAAGTGTAATATATAGCAGCGGGGTGTTCCTGAGTAACGAGTATATTCATCACATGAAGCACGGTGAACTATTTCTACTGCTCAAGGACAGGTCCCTCAATCCCAACTGATCGCCTGCCCAACCTCTTCACATAGCGACACCACACGCCATACTCGGGACTCTTTGTGTCAGAAGTAGACATAAGGGCAGTCGAGGTGGTTGCAATTTTCCTTGCTCAAGAAATACACTCTCGTGGAAGCGATGTCCTGTAAAATCAAACAGAGGTGAACCCTTACCTTGAAAACCCGTAATTCCACCGAACTCAATCCTCTGTTGACGAGTGTATTTCCAGAGAACATTCCGTAGTAGCTGGTGGCATAGAACGCGGTGGCATTGGCGGTATTGTTCGGATGGTACGTCACTTTGACGGAAACCCAACTTGTGGAGCCCAGCGAAATGCCGAGCATGACGATCGTGCCAATGCTGATGAATCCCGTTGGAAGAAAATATGCCTTTTTCCGAGCAGAAACCATGATGGCAAGCGAAACGAGTTTTTTTTATTTCAGCCTCACTCAAATGGAGGACTCAATGCTAAGGCGATGCGAGAACGTCCCTTGTCCCTCGACAGCTTTATTGCCCCGGTGAACTCACGACGGCAGAAACGCCCAGGAACTTTGGACCTCGTAGCTCACAGGCCCGGGGCACAGTCCAATCCATAGGCACCACCGATAACGTGTGAGTGACACACGGTCATGCATTGGTAGTGTAATGTTTAGCTGCTATTGCTTCCGAAAGTAAAATCTGCCCGCTGTACATCCGCTTTGTTCAGTACGATCAGTTATATGCATAAACCATTATCACGCGAACTCCGATCATCGTTGCAGTGGCTTTTGTCTATCCATGAAACAGACGGTCACTGCATCGCGCGCTTTCAGGTGCGCTTCTGCGGCCGTCTGGAACGCTCGTGGTGTAGGCCTATCAGTTTCAAAGACAATGCATATATTATTATAGCATGTTTGTTTGCATGTTCACCACGAGTACTGTGTGTGGTTAAGGCAGACATGATCCCTTGAAAAAGGTTCATATTTGGTGTTTGAAAATCTTGACACCTGTTTTATTACCAGAAAGGGTAAAAACATATTCTTATTTTTTCAGTGTTGTCTTTGCTTTGTGCTACGTCTTAAATCCACGTGTTCCCATTTTACACAGTGTAATTCCCAGCATGGTTCTGTCCCGTTTTTTTTATTGTGTATATACTCATAAGTTAATGTGTGAAACATTGTACAGACAGAGCGTCAATGATAACACAGGAGCCAAGGTGCGTGCGTCTGTGTACACACAGTCCATGCCACTTTTCCACCACAATAGGAATTAGACCCGAGCCGTGCCCAGGCCGTTCTGGGGAAGGTTCGGCATGCCTCCGTGAGCTCGGTCGGCCTCCTCCGTTCTCACTCACAAAGGAAAAACATGATCATTTTTGGGTTAGACTATTCCACTGAAAGTTGATATCAAAATGTTATTGATGATTTTCATTTTTAAAATAAAGCAATGGCCCTTGAGCGGACCTAAACGAGACACAATGTTGACGACACGCGCCTCGTGACCCCGTGAAAATCACGATTGATTCCGAGGGTGGCCTGGCTGAAACGTGGGTAGCCCATGCGTGTGCCTAGCCCTACCACGTGAACAAGCATATCGATTAAAGCGAACAACTCGGCCACGTATAAGTGGGTCTAGATTTGAAGCTTTCGTGACTGCAAGGATTCATATTCTTAGGTTTTTTCGGTAAAGTCACGTAGGTAAAACATTAAAATAAATAAAAGTAAAATAAAAAATAAATAAAATAAAAATAACGACGTTTCGGAGGCAACACAAGCTTCCGTCTTCAGGTGGAACCATCACAGCACGCCATGATTTTTATTTTATTGTTATTTTATTTTACTTTTATTAATTTTAATTTTTTACCTACGTGACTTTACCGAAAAAACCTAAGAATATCAAGCATGTCTGTTTGTGTGTAACGCGCGTGACGTCACTCCACTTGCCGCACCCCCCTCATTAATATTCATGAGCAGGTGGATTTTTACACTCACGCAGAAGGTCGAGCGGAAAGACTTTTTTGTTGTTGCAAATTCGCTTTAAGTTTGACGTTTCTTTATTGAAAGTTAATCTAATAAATAATTCTACGCAGCAACCAAGTGGATTTGGTGTATATAGTTATTTATGTCTTCAGCACTTGAGACAAAAGGTAAGTCTAATTTATGATTCTACTTTATGGTAAAATAGACATTTCTCGGTGCTTTTCCAGATATTGTATAGAATTCCAATTTATATCAACCCCAGCGACCGAAAGCAGAAGATAATAAAGTATCAGAGCAGTGAATTTGAACAAATTGAAGGTCAGTTATATTCAGTGCTACAGTGACATGAAGTGAGGTGTTTTATGACTTCGTTTTGTGCCAGTTTCACTGCCATTAAATTTACACAAGATACAATTATACTCTGCTCAATTTTTCCGTAAATATTACAGCTTCCGTCCTAGGACGGGCAAACAAGCGAGTTGATATCACAGCTCAGAACACTTTTAGCAACATCAGCACCGAAAGGGCTACACCAGGGGTCGGCAACCAAAATAACAAGAAGAGCCATTTCTTTCCAATTCGGTACAAAATTCAGTATTTCAAGAGCCGCAATGCATCTGAGTACATACTGTACATACGTACATATCGTCAAGAAGCAGCCCGTAAAGAGCCGCATGCGGCTCCGGAGCCGTAGGTTGCCGACCCCTGGGCTACACCAATCCACCACCTCCTCTTTAACAAGCACGGAAATTAACAGAAGCGCGGTTATTCATTAACGCCGTCCGTTAAGTGCACAGCTGACTCACACCGCTATTCTTTATCTTGGTGGCTCGCGGTCGGTGTGAGGAATTTGCACTTGATATTCAGTACTTAATTTGCATATTGTGTCTGTACGTTGCACCAACGAAGGCGCAGAGACGAGTGTCATCATCAGCCACGGCTGATCCGCCTGCAGCTGGCATCTCTTCACGATCCCGAAATATTATCAAACATCGAGCAACTTCACACATCGCTCCATCCTCTTCGACTCGTTCCAATCCTTGGCTATCACTCCATCATTACTCCTGACCACCGGCCTTCTTCCATACTTGTCAAGTGTCCTGTCTAAGCAGGTAAGGCAACAACATGTATGGGGCCCTACTAGTTAAACCCTATTTTGGACAGGGCGTGTAGGCTAATGATCTATGTTGAAAACTCATTTCTTTGGAACTTATTTTTGTATTTATTTTGTAGCCACCCCCGCCGCACCTCCGAATAGCACGGTTGGCTACGTACGGTGCGAAAGAAGTTCACATACATACACACATAATTATTTCATGCCCATTGATTTTAATCTCAGCCGATGTTCTAAAAATATCCCCCCCTGTTGATCGGGTAGGGAGTAGAGAGGGCAGGAGGGGAGGGGATCTCTGGGATAGAGGCCTCAGAAATTTTCCACGATAAATTAACACCTGGTAATGCCAGAGGATGATTAATCTATTTCGACAACCCAATCGAGTTTGGAAAATAAATAAACTGTCGTGGTTTCAGCCTAATCATCTGACTAGAGTTGACAAAGAATCCGTGGAATTGTACAGATAAATAACTTAACCAATCCATCACTCAAACGATATTGGCAATAAAAGCAGCTTTCCACAGTTGTCTCTCCAAACACATGCAACTGAACTGATACAATCACCAAACATCACCTTGCCAGTAAATTAATGGCAGCATTCATAGCAGGCTGCGAACTGTGTACTGTGCTCGTAAATGAGTAACATCACACCAAAAGGCAAAGTCCATGTTAAATAAGATCCTGGATATAGTAGTAGGTTTTTACCCTTTCAACTGGTACAAAAACTGATACCTTTATACTTGGGATCATGTTTGCAATAACCACAACACAAGCAGTCAAAATGCAAACAAAAGTAAACAACTCTGATAATGAAATTCACTCATTATCATTATCAGAGTTGTTTCTTTTTGTTTGCATGTTGACTGCTTGTGTTGTGGTTATTGCAAACATGATTCCTTGTATAAAGGTATCCGTTTTTGTACCAGTTGAAAGGGTAAAAACCTATTACTATATTTTGCCACTGGTAAAGGAGATGTCTCATAAGATCCTGGATGTGGCTGAGCCGTTGAAGAAGACAATATTTTGTAAAAAAAAATCCCTACAGACTCGAACTTTTTTGGCTGAATGGCTGAGGGTCGTATCGAAAGACAGGTCTAGTTTGGTACACCCCAATTCTTGGGTTGAGGGTGGTTAACACTTGGATGGCTCATAGCCTGGGAAAAGGTTGTGAACTGGCCAGGAAATGGCGGTACATAAAACAATAGATTCCTACATATGTGCTGGGCATTGAATTGTTACTCGTTGTATGCATGTGCTCTCTCTAGAGGGAATCGTGTTCCATAACATGTCAAAAATTCACAAACTCAAATTGTCCAAACATCCCAACAATATGTGTGTGCCTAGCCTAAGAATTAGCAGGCATCTTGATTTAAACAGAGGTGGCGGGTGGCTACAGCTAATAGGGCTTAGGCCCCTCGAACCTAATCACCAGCAGGCATTCAAGCACAGCCTAGAGAGGAAACTTTCTCTGAGCTGGACTTGGCAAAGAGGTGCTAAGATCACCACAGGTGGAACGCGTGATAGACTGCTGCAGCAGCGTATTCTGTGGCCTGAGAGCATTCCAATTAAGTAAGCCATATTATTGGCATGCAAACATTCAATGCATTTTTGCATGCAATAAAATTATTTTTTATTTAACTCGTAATTTATTTCAATTTCACTTTCTTTTAGCCATCCGACTGATATTTTCCCCCACCACCGATGTTTAAGATTCACTTGTTATCCTGGGTCTGGTCTATAAACGACACCACGCCATGTAGCTCAACAAAATCAGGTCAACAGTTAAAGCACAAGGTGAGGAGAGAAAGCGGGGGAATCACAGTAAAGTTAAACTTAAATTCATATTGTACACTCGTGGAAAGTCAAGTGTTTAGCGAGATGTTAGCTACCTCGCCTGGTTTACAGGACACCATGGGTTCGATTCCTACCCTGACACCTGGATATTTGGAGATCGCATGTTCTCCCCACGGTTGCGTGGGTTTTTGTCTGGGTTCCTCCGTTTTTTTTTCTCCATATGTGTTTAGAGTATTTGGCTGCTATAATTTTCCACGTGGTAAGCCACTTCGTTGAGCTATCATTTGTGGCCAGGTCGCTTCTAAAAAGAACTATATAGCTCAGTGGGCCTTACCTGGTAAAACAAAATTAGTTTATGATCGTTTTATATTTGTATTTAAGTTAGTTCCATGTAAGTGCAGACATTAATTTTAACCACAATTCGCCGGTTCATTCTTTAGTGGATGTATTATGGTGTAGTCTCTTGCCGCCACACACACGTAGCATCCTCCCATCCCCAATTATTATAATCACACACACGAACAATATTTCCGCGGCAAACTTTTTGTTGTTCAATTTTGTACGAACTTTATTTTCATTTTTTTTCTTCTTTATAAAATTCAGAGAACGTTTAGTGCCAGAACAGACAGCACTCAAACATCAGTAGAAAACACACTCGGACTTTATAAAAGAACTCGCGTCCATATACAAATACTGTGGAGTCTGCCGTTAAAATGCACAAAATTAACCAAGTCACTTGACCTGCAGTGTTGGTGCCATTAAAAAAGCATACTTGACGTCAATGGCTTTCGCAAGTATGCACACGAACCGAAGACATCTTAATATAATCGGGGTGCAGTATATACATCCGTATATAAAAAGCTAAATGTTTTACGATATTAGCAAATTAAAGAATGAATGAAGATATATTTGGAGTTACTAGGCGTGATTAATAGTTGCAAAATTAATTCAAAGGAAATAACATAAATACTATTGACTCCTATTTTACATTAAATACACTGAAACAAAAAAAATTAAGTGGTCTCTTACAGGCAGTAGTTGAAAAAATTTAATTACTGCAATGCATAGTTAAGTGTGGGTAAATGTATGCGGGTATTCATAATGAAATAATTTCAAAATCACAAGACAGATTCAGTCTCTCTCCTACCATGTGAATCTCCGCATTGGCTTCCGTTGAAGAACGCTATCCCAGCAAGTGTTTCGTGCGTACCTCGATTCTCCAAAGGGCTCGGAATGCAAGCTGTCGAGTTACCGCAAACAGGGGTACCGTGTGAAGATTTTGCAAACAGCAAAGTCCGCTATGACTGCGAATCGCACCGCAATGGCCATGACCATCGTCACAGACTTCGTCCTACGTTCCTTTCTTGGTCTCCCACTCCTGTGCACAACAGAAACACACACGGGTTACTGTTATCTTACTACCGAGGGAAGACTCACCGAGTCTCAATACTCTTTTACAGAAGGGTCCTGCCCGGTATTTGTCGGAGGCAGCGGTGTTGCTGGGTGTTTAATCCAAAGTGAGGAATTTGCAGATCATTTTTCAGCATTGGGATGTTTGGCCAATACCAGTTTAAACTGTGGGTTTTCAGCTTCAGAAGAAAATAAGAACCCACAGGGGAACCCATGCAGAACAGGAGGACAACATACGAACTCCACACAGCACGTCAACCGAGTCGGGAATCGAACCCAGGTTCTTCTTGCTTCGACTGTGCCACCCTGCTTAACTCCAACACATGGCTCGCTGGCAGCTCCGCCCACTTTTCTAAAGCCCCACCCACTCAATCACTAGCCCTGCTCACAGCGAGGAGGTAGTCTCTTGCTAACGTTGGTACCGCCTACTCTGCCTAACTCCGCCCACCACTCAGGTAGCCAAGCACCTTTTGCCATATCATGAATCAAGCACCACACCAGAAACATTCCAAACTGGGGGAAAAAAAATCTCAATTTACGCCAATGTTTCAGGACATTGGGAACAGCCTTTCTGAAACCGACACCGGCTCCACCGAACCGAGAGCTTTGACAGCCGTAGGACATTGGCGTGAATCTCCCCCGTACCGAGGAGGCTCTCACAGAGACACCAACACACCCCGTGCACCGTTGACGTGAAGGCGCCGTACCTTGGCCTTCTGCAGGACAGCGCCAGAGCAGGCGAGCGCGTAGATGGAGAGAGGACGGCGCCGCATGGCGGCCTGGCTGTTGACGGGCAGCAGTCGCACCTCCGAGTCGGCCGTGTCGCAGCAGAGCGAGTCCCTCCGACGTCCGTCGGGAACCTTTGGCGGAGGACACGCACACGCGCACACAACAGACGCACACACGCACAGGACAGTTGTTGGTCTCGTCACCGCCGGTCAACGTAACTTGACGATGACTAGACAAACTACAAAATTGATGATGTCATAAAACCACCAATGAACTGTCTTGCCGAGTACTTACTTTAAGGATGGGCAATAACTATTTTTTTCTAACTTTGTTGTTTCAGAAACATTTTGCGACAACATAAAATACGTAAAAAGAAAAAATAAGTAAATTTTGAAACAGACGATACGATTATTATGAATTTAATATCGTTCCATACGCCATACACATCACTGCATTGCGGATACCCCTATCACAAGTCGTGCATTAAACCGACCAACATATAAACGAGGACAAACCCGTGATCCTTCACCAATGCTGCCAGGCGATGCCAACAGAACAGCCTTACGGTAATGTATGTATGCTGAACTTATTTCACACCGTACGCACCGCACCGTGCGAATCGGAAGTGCGGGGGAAGGACAACAAACTAAAAACACAAGGGAGTTGTGATGAGTTTTCAATTAAGATTTAAAAGTGCATAGCTCCAGTGGCTTCCTAATATCGGACGGAAGGGCATTCCACAGAAGCGCATCTGAAAACGCGCGATGCGGTGACCGCCTTCGTCCAACCAAAAGCCGCTGCCGCTGCTGCTGCTGCTGCTGCGAGGACGACCGGAGTTCGCGTGATGGTTCATGCTCCTTGACGAGATGAGCAAGTTTCGATTTAAAGCTTTCGTGACTGCAGGGATTCATCTTCTTGGTTCTTTCGGTAAAGTCACGTAGAAGGGAAATAATAAAATAATAAAAATAAAACATAATAAAATAATTATCACGACGTTTCGGCCAAAACGCAAGCAGCCGTCCCCTCAGGTGAAGAACAGGTCTGTCGGAAAGACAGCGTCTGACGCTTCTGACGCTGTCTTTCCGACAGACCTGTTCTTCACCTGAGGACGGCTGCTTGCGTTGTGGCCGAAACGTCGTGAGAATTTTATTGTTTTTTTTTTTCTAAGTGACTTCACCGAAAGAACCAAGAAGATGAGATGAGCAAGGTATTGTGGTCCGTTTATGGCAAGCACTGGTGCGTGTAATGAGCGCGTATTCGTTCGGCAGCCGGAAGCCAACGCAGCTCAGCGAGCACGTGACGGGCCACGGCCACACCTTGCAGGAACGATTGGTACCGTCGCAGCGGCAACGAAGGACGGTCGGCGACCATTTTACCTGGGGGACGGCGTCTCGCTCGGCCGGCCGGGGCGAGATGGTGAGTCCCAGCGAGGGTCCCCCAGAGAGCGCGTGCTTCAGCCGCTCCATCACCTCGATGAGACGCAGCTCCAGGTCGACGCGCTCGCCCTCGCACGCGCGGCACCGTTCCTCCAGCAGCCGCAGCGCCGCCGCCTCCGTCTCCCCCGAGGCGCCCCCGTCTGCGGCCACACGGACACCCGCCGCCGTTTCAATTCCGTCCAGGGATTGGGATATCGATGGATATCGTCCGGGTCGCTGCTAACCCTTTCCCGTTCACGATGACGTACGTGTACGTCGTCAGTTTTTTCCTTCCGATCCCGTTCACGATGACGTATGTATGTTTTCGAAACTTTATCAGTGCCTAGGGTCCGACAAAGCCCTGCGGGAGGGCGTGTGGCACAGTTTGTCGACAGCTGTCGCTACAGTTCTCTGCGGTGAGTACAATGTCTTTAAAAACAACGGCGTTATGCTCTCGATATATAATTCGCGCTGCACCGTTTGCACGTTCCGAGATTCAGTGGTGAACGGGAGCCCTGCAACCTCCAGTCATATCGGAGTGAAAAAGGTATAAGATGGGAATAGTCACATGATTAATAGCCACAGCCGTAGTGACAAGTTTACTGGTTGTGGTGTGCCAGGCGCGTAAAAAGTGTCCGGGTTGCTGACCCAGAGACACATCCGGCTGAGATTAATTCCTGGTTATAGCCATGTAGCTTTGGAGAGGGGGGCTCAGCCCCCTCTTGCATTTAATATTCGAAGTTGGTTTAATGCTGACTATATCATGTCCCCCGGGTGAGGTTTTGTATGATCCCAGTTAAACAAGGTTATGCAAATGGATTGTTGTCTGGTTTATTATCATCATCAATACCACCACCACGAACATGATGACCGTCCCATTTGAAGGTTGCAATTCACGTGTTTGGTCAGCAGGGGGCGGTATATCCACTACCATGGTGGCAATCAGACAAGTAGATACGCCCGTCGAGTGATTCAATGAATTGTCACATTTGGGAGTATTCATTTAACTCAAAATCCGATTATTGTTTTTTTTGGTCAAATATTTACCGCCTCGTTTGTATCAGTTGCCTAAAAAAACTGGGTACAGTATTGTTCGCTCCATATATTAATATATAAAACGCCAGTAAGCAGCTTATAATAAACACGGTGCAACACAAGTCTTGGTCAAACATCCCAACGCGGAAAAGCTACCTGTAAATGGGATCACACAGAGCCCTCTACTGTGAAGACTTGGCAGGATCCTCTTGAAAACGAGTCCTGAGACTCAAAGGTAATAATTTCGTCATCATAACATCTGGAGAGCGGGTTAATACCTCAGTGGGCATTGCCTGGGAGGATGGTGATGGTCTAGTTTTATTTGTATGTTTACCTTTCTTGCACTTTGCACTACTGTCATGTTTTGATACTGTTTGTGGTTGGAACATTCTTACCCGCCACGACTGGACATCTGTGAAACAGAGCTTTATAGCTCATCGGATTCCTCCAATATAAATATTCTGATACAATTGCTAGGAAACACTGTCCCTGGCTGCGTCTTAGGGCATTGCATCGACGATGCTACCTGTGAAGGCAAACGAACCATCCCTCTACCAGACGGTGGCCCTACTGCGCTGTAGCTGGGGGGAGCGGGGGGTAAAATTTATCGCGGGGGTCAGTGACAGTGGCAACATTCCTCGCTCTGAAATGATGTGAACCGCTGAAGCAGGACACATTGCCATCAAAAAAAGATCCCAGAGTGGCAGCATTTTATCCAATTTTGGCAGCGCTTTAGCCAAACGCATCACAGTCAATAAAAATCACAAGCGAGCAGGAAAGGGATATAAAAAAAAAAGTGAAAGGGGAAAAAAATGCCTGCGCAGGTTCATGGAATTGTAGCTTCAGCCATAAATCGTGAAATTTGCTTACAGTTGTGTCCACCGCTTGTCACTTGCAGTGAAATTGATAGTTCCCACAGCTGGAATTTTTGTTGGGTCAAGGGGCAAAATCGTGACCAATTGCTCCGTGCGGTTAAATGCCAGTGGCATTACATATGTGTGGACAATGTATCAATTGAGATTTGTTTCCTCTTCACAACAAAAGCGCATTGTTTCAAATGGTTAGCGGTTGACTATTTTTAAATCCTTTATATTAAGTTCGCTTGCTTGCTTGCGTGCTTGCTTGCTTGCTTACGACCGTGCAAATCTTTCAGTCGTTTTTTAACCCACTTCCCGTGATCCAATCGAGCTGAAATTTTGCACACAGACTCGTTGTGCGAGACAATTAATGTTCGTGAAATTTTACACTGTTTAGGGAAAAAATAATTAATTACCAATTGCTTAATGGTGGCAGACAATCATCTGACCCATAGGTGGCAGCCATCTCAAGCCAGAGGACGAGAGGACTCTAGCCGCCCCGATGCCACGCATATAAAGGATTTATAGTGAAAAACTTTGTTTTAAAGGGTTAATTTTTTGTCTCTTTCTGCCTTGAGATGTTTGTCGTTCATGAAAGGGTTCTTTTTTTTATTTGCAACAGCTACAATCTATATGATTGATTGGTGCTGCGCATTTCCATGAGTTTCATATTCTGAGTGGAAATATTAACGTTCAACGAGTATTCCACTTTTACCAAAACGCATCTCAGATGATCAACATTTGTAGTCGTTAGGCGGCTCAGGCGTTGAGGTTCCAAGCCGGCACCGCTAAATTCCTGGGAATGGATCTGAGTTTCAGCCACCCGTGATAATTCCAGGTTTACAAATGAAAGTGAGTGATACGCAGTGACCAGTTCTCAGCCTGGTCATTAATGACGGCAAAAAACCGTTACATATCAAACTTGATTTCGGTAAAGTCACGTAGAAAGAAAATTAGGCCAGGACACAGAGGCATTGGGTCTCTGTGTCTATGTTGTGTGTCTCTCTGTGTGTGTGTCTCTGTCTTGTCTCTTTCTGCTTGTGTGTCTGTCTGTGTGTCTCCATGTCTGTGTTTTGTCTCTCTCTCAAATTTAGTTCTATCTGATGACGATTGCTTGTGTTGCAATCGAAACGTCGTATTATATTATTAAATGTATTTTCTTTCTACGTGACTTTACCGAAAGAACCAAGGAGTAGTGACATATCAACTTCGGTTTTCCACTTGGCCTGCTTTAGCTGAGAATTACCGATTTGAGTTTAAGTAACAAGTGAACACTCTTTGCAGGAAATATAAAAGGTGCACCCATAGTGTGCTTTTTAAATAATTCTGTGACATCAACTTACAGCGACAATCATTGACAAAGGTTGATGTGATGCCAGGCATGCAAGTTGTGAGCACGACTTTGCACCGATAGCACAAGTGAAAATATAATTGCATAAAAATAAGACGAGACTCCCAACATTGATAAAACCACCACCACCACCACTGGTGCATCCAGCCCTACAGCCCCCATTATGAGCGCACGCCCGCACGAAAACGCGCGCATCACCGAGACGACTCGTCGCGGTGGAGCGGCACGGGAGACACGGCGAGGGCAGCACGAAGAGATTCAGGGCGGCAGCGTGGGGGCCACATGCGCAGCGTTGGTGGGCCCTAGGGGTGGGCCCTAGGGGTGGGCCCGAGGGGTGGGCCCGAGTACGTACCGCCCTGCCTCGCCTCCGGCGCCTCGCGCGCCTCCCTGCGCTCGCGCCGCAGCTCGGAGAGGCGCGAGCGGACGTCCTGGCGACGGCGCTGCAGCTCCAGCGCCTCGGCCTGCAGGCGCGCGGCGTCGGCCTCAACGCGCCGCCGCCCGTAGCGCTGGCCGAGGCTCGGCTCCGCCAGCAGCGCCGCCCTCCTCTTGCCGTCCTTGTCGCGCGGCGCGTCGCCCCTCGCGCCGCTGGCGTCCGCGCAGCACGAGGAGGAGGAGGTGGTGGAGGAGGAGCAGGAGTCGACGTCGCAGGAGTTTCGCTCGGTCTCCTGACGCGCGCGGGTAACAAGCAGCGTGGATGAAACAAACGCTCCCCAACGAGCATTCGTTTTCGGATGAATTTGATTAGCGGCATGAGAGTCGATGAGTAGCCGTCGGGACAAAACACATTTTTATATCGGCCAATATGACTTTTTTTGATCGGGTTTGGGTGTCCAGGTTTTGCGCCACTTTTTGATGAATGACCAAGTTTCAACGGGGTTACTCTCTAATACCAACACAAATTTATATATACAGATCCATTAATGTTGCATCATATTCACGTGAGTTATAGTGCACCGTCGATATTGTGTTATTAATGTACAGTCAGACAGGCAAGACTGGAAAGACCAAATACTAAAAATAATCATAACAACAACAATCGTAATAGTTCACTCCTTTGTCAATTGCTGAACAAAGACCTCCCCTCTCCATGCCGTGGTGTGCACCCTAAGGGTAACAATAATAATTATAACGCAATTTACGTCCACAGGAAACACTCGGGTCAAGAGAGTTTTGCCTTGGGATGTTTGGTCACTTCCATTGTGACAAGCGGGGGGGGGGGGATGGGAGCCCCTAAAGAAAATCCAAACCTGGTTCAAGGTCAGGTTTGGAGTTGATTCTTTCTTGTCTCATTTTCGCTGGCAGATTAGACGTGACATTACCATTTAATTTAAATTAAATTACTCGCATAAATCATGCATCGCGATTGTAAGAATATACAAAAAAACTGTTGAATGAGTGTGGAACAAAGTACTTTATTCATGACATCACGGCGCTAGCAGCATCTGTTTCACTATGAAATGTTGCTATTTCACGAGAAACAATGGTTTAATAATTTATTTTGTGGGCGGCTTTAAACGAAATTACAGCTTTTTCTACAATGCCGTCAGCTCTCAAATGCACGGAAAGGAAACTGCAGCTGCGGCTGCGAAGGTTTTGGTTCTAAATTTAGGGTGCACTATATCGCATTTACGGCTATTTTAATTCCAACCTTTTCCTGTTTCTCTCAAACCGAAGGATGTTTTTACAACGTCTTGCTCGGCAATTAACACAGTGGCCGGCAGACACAACGTGAGAGTATGAACTCTCGCTGTTTACTGCGTCGGCTGGGTGGCACTTTAGGAGATTCCACGTGCCAGGGAACAAATGGGTCTTGTCTGATATTTGCACATTTTAATTACTCTGGGAGCCACGGACAAATCTAAGCGGACGAAACGAACATTTCCCGTGGTTTAATCTACATCTCATTTGCGTTTAAGAGCGTGACATTCCGTAAGAGGGCGTCTTTAAATGATGGCACCAGAAGGCTGGAAAACAGCCAAAACTAATGACTATCATCAACGAGAAGGAGAGCGGGCGACACGAATTCAATAATTTCACTGCCACCCTTCGCATCTGAATACGATACCTAAGGACTTCTCCAACCTGCACTGATCGGTGTGCTGATCAATCTACCTCCATGACTGACAGAGGAGGTTTTTTGGCCAGCAGTGGATTGATGAAGGACTGTAAATTATTAGGCAAGGCCTTGCAATTGGTGGAAACACTATCACTTCGGGGACCTCTTGAAGAGCCCCTCCAGAAGGTACATTTGGCCTACTCTTCCATGCTGGCCATACGTCTTGGAAGATGTGGTCACTACCACACTTTACCCCACCGCTCGCGACCTGACGATCGACTAGCCTGCCGCCAACCCATGTACACCGCTGGGTGGAGAGAAGCGGTGGGAAGCTCAATAAGCGTGCACCGTGTTGCAACTGCCGCGCCCTGGGGCGGCATCAAACTGGTGACTTCGGGATTTTAAGTCCATTACATCATCTACATCATCATCATCACAATCCATGGGTAGGTGTTCACTGCACATTTCGTCATTTGTTTCCACTTTCCTCTGTCTTGTGCCAATTATGCTCAAGTAGTGCCACATCTTTCTGACAGCAACCTCTTATGTCATGACATCACCCTCATATATATAAAAAAAAATTATCCTCATTATTATTATTACTTCACCGTACCTTGTCGCCGGGCGCAGGAGAATCTCTCTCGTGCCCCTCCCCAGTGGCAGCGTCCCACTGCCGCGAGGAGCCAGCGCCGCCACCACCGCCGCCGCCGCCGCCACCCTCCAGTCCCCGCGCGATGCTCAAGTAGTCTCCGGGATCGTGCAGCAGGCGACCGCCAATGTCCCGCATGATCTCCTCGGCGAGCTCCCGCAGCCCGGCGTCATCGTCGTCGCCGCCGCCGCTGTCCGTCCCGCATGGCGTCGGCGCCGGTGGCACCGACGGGCACTCCGACGGCGCGCGCTCCTCGGGGGTCGCGGGGTCGCGGGGCCCGTCGCTCGCGGAGCGGAGGGCCCCGCCGGCGGTGGCGGCGAGGGCGAGGGCGCCGTCCCGCGTGAGGTTCTCGTAGGGGTCGTCGGACGGGGAGTGATCCCTACTGCGGCACGGCGGGCCGTCCGTGTACACGTTGGGCGACGATGCCTGCCGCACCTTGATGCTGCCGACAGAAAGTTGGGAGGCGCCGTTTGTGCCGCGGCATCGTTGGGCTGAACTTCAAACCACGGATGGAATGGAAAGCGTTCACACTCGGGAAAACAATCAGCCGCCAATGACCAAATCGCCCTGGATGGAGCCAATCTTGTTAAATCTGGGAAGCTAAGCAGGATTGACCCTCGTTAGTGCTTGGAGAGGTGACCACCCAGACTTGCTGGATGTTCTATATAAGGTGGCAGGGCTGATTGTCTTCCCTCTCATTTGTGTGGGTTTTATTTGGGTAGTCCGGCTTCCCCCCACATGCAAGATGCGAACGCAATTGGCCAAACTCGATTCCAATCTAGCAGGACTCTCCTGAAAAAGACTTGAGGGTCAATGGGTCTTTTAGTGGGTAAATAAATCGTTGTTATTATTACCGCTCGGCAAGCCGATCTGAAACTTACATCAAGAGTTTGAACTCAACACCCTCCCGCCACCCCCCCTCCCTCCCCCACCGATTAAAACAAACACTTCCGGCCCGGTACTTTGAGACTGGCGCCAAGTTCGCCCTTCATTTATTTATGCGTTTGCGTGTTTCTACTCGTTTGCTCGTTCCGCCGCTTGGCACAGCCACCGCGGGCCGCTCGTACCCGCGCGAGAGCTTGGCGGCGTGCAGGAAGCGCGACGACGTCTCGGTGTCGACGTGCTCGTAGAGCAGCGACTCGGGCTCCGTGCCGCAGCCCGTGGTGGCCAACAGCAGGCCCACCCAGCGCCCCGTCTCCACCCACGAGGCGGCCTGCACCCGCATCACATGAACGCACGCGAGCTCGGTCGGCGGACGAGAGGCAGGTCCGAGCCAAACTAGCGCGGCTGAAGAAATTCGACGACGGACAACCATGCACCTCCGATTCGCGTGGTTGGCAACGTACGGTGTGAGAGAAGTTCAACTTGCATGCATTCATACAAAAGTGGTGGTTCGAGAGCTGCGATGTGAAACCGGTGACCCGAGTTTTGTTCCTGAGCCGAGGCTAACATCAGTGGTGAGTGAAGTCTTGTTAAGTTCATTTATTTTAACCAGGTGAGAGAGAACTCAACAACAATAACAAAAAGTGTCGAATCCGACCGTCATTTTGCCTCGAGCATAATGAACGAGCGAATTCATTAGAGACTCTTCTCACAAATGAGCAAACAAATGAATGACAGGATTGCTCAAGAAAAAAGAACAAATAATAAAAAAACTAATTGCGGGATGTTCAAACGAATGAATAAGCGAGCGAATGAACAAGCAAACGAACGAGAGAGCCGCTTCGAGTGAACGGGACAAACGAACGAGCGAACGAACGAAACAAGAGGACGTTCGGCGCGAGAGCCGCCGCCGGCCGAACCTCAAGCGTGGCGACCTCCTTGTCCCCGCGGAGTAGGCGGAAGGCGAGCGGATGTTTGGGCACGAGGCCCGGGGCCAAGCGGCAGCCGTGCAGGGCGATGCTGCCCGCGGGGGGCTCCCCCTTGGCGCCACCAACGCCGCCGCCGCCGCCGCTGCCCAGGAACAGCGTGCTCCCCTCCAGCGAGCCCCAGCACTCCTGCCAGCCGCTCTCCGTCAGCACGCTCAGGCAGCCTGCGGCGCGCGGTACCGCGGAGACGGTTACGGAGGGCGGGAGGGAGAGCCACGGGTCGTTAGGTCATTTGTTACGTGTCATTAGCCGCGCGATGATGCGTCAATGAAACTCTATTTGTTTTGGGATTTTTTTTTATATATAACCTGTCGTTATGTGCGTGTCTCATCCTCAATACAGACTGTGGATGAGATTGAAATTTATTTAATTATATTTGTATTCCCCGCACCCCCGCCCCCACAATTTTAAGCTAATTGCGTTATCTGTGTCATGTCACGAGACCATGAATCTGTTTGGAACTCCTGCAGGGAATTGCAACTTCCCATGTCAGAGAACGGCCTTCTGGTGCAGAAGAGACACCCCCAAGGCCCCTTCAATTGACTTTTAAATCCACACACTCCGCGTTTTCACAACCACCCTGCTACAGAGTAATGTTTATTACATTACACTCAAACCCACATTTTAATTGAGGGCTTTTTTTGCACATTGGTGACTTTGCTGAGCCCATCAACTCACGACACTTGAGAATCGGGTTTAATCACAAGTGGCCACAGGTCGCAAACGGGTTTTGATTCCTTACCCGTACCCATACCCGGCCGCACCAGGGTCGCAAACGGGTACCCGTATCCGTACCCGGCCGGGTACGGGTAGCCGGGTATCGGGTAGGGTACAGGTATCGGGTACCCGATTCTGACCTCTGCAAGTGGCTGAAATCTGGATTCGAACCCAGGGTCTCAGCAGTGCCTAGACCTCAGAACCACCCGGCCAACACAAATTCGACTAAGTTCATGATTAATTAATCGAATCGTGCATTTGATAACCGATTCTTTTGTGATATGATGATGCATATTTCATTTAGGATAGCAAAGCCAACAAACCTTTTCAATGGCAGAAAATTGGAAGAAATAAAAATGTCATTAACCAACAAGAGAAAATCAAATCGATTCTTCAATTGAATCACTGACACTGAATTATGTTATAATTACTCGATTTGCGTGAATGATGAAGCATCACATGACTAGAAATCGGCACGATTTAATTGTTTTCCTCGCAATTATGAAAACTACGAGAACACAGCAAAATCTCGATGCACATTACATCAGAATCCACATGGTGTATGTGTGTGCGCACGCCTCTCTCCCGACCAGCACAGCATTTATTCACCCCTCCCCGCTCCCTTATTTCACGGCGAAGAGAGTTTTATTCACGTCTCCCATTGCGCTGGCCGGCGCTCAGCCAATTTTTTCCATGCGCGCCAAACTTGACAAACCCCGTTCGTTTGTCGTGCGCGAGCTCGCGGTGACACGTGACCACACGTCAGCGGGGTCGGCCGTGACGCTGGCGTCCGTACCAGAAGCGTCGGCGTCCCCCGCGCCACCAACGCCACCGCCGCCGTCACCGCTCGAACCGCCGCCCCGCGCGCTCCGCTGCGGAGACTCGGGCAGCTCCTTCTTCTTCTGTCGTCGCCCGATGATCTGCGTCAGCCTCTTGCCCGTCGCCTTGCCGAGAGACCACCCGGGACGGGCCGCTTTGCCTAAGGAAGGGGAGCAAGGGACCGGATGGGTATGGGTAGGCAGCAAGCAGGGTAACATCCATCCACTCTACACACCACCGCCTTATCGCGTTGTTTCCCTGCAGCACAATATGCGTGCCCCACCTCTGGCGACGCTTATCCCACAGTGAACGTGTCGGACGCCGCACCAAATTACCTGCGCGGAATCATAACAGGGTGCCTGAGAGCCAGCCCTGTTGCCTGCCTATGTGCACTGTCTGGCATAGCGGCCCCTAACATCAGGAGGAGAGTAGCAGGTGACCACGACCGACAAGTCATGGAGTGGGATCGTCCGTCATCCGCCATCAGCCAGCACGACCGTCTTGTCATCGAGAAACAGCTTCTTGTGCTCGACCGTACCACTGACCACATCACCAGAGTCTGCCAGAACTTCCCCGTGGCAAAAAGAGTTGGGAAAACTCAAACGACAAAACTGCCGAATGGAGCCGGCAAGGCTTCGCGCCCAGTGAGGAGCTCGCGTCTGGCTCCAATTCCAAATGGCTCACATGGCGGAGCCTTAACAGGCACGAGATTGTTTTGGCAAATGCAACTCTCTCATGAAATCATGGAGGGTCGGGGGGGGGACTTCTGCACAATCAAACAATGTGCTTGGTCAGGAGAAGCAAACCATGGACCATCTCCTGAATGCCCTCCAGCACCACAATGCACTCCTCAAGATTTGGCAATGCCAACACCAGAAGCGGTGGCCTGTGCAGACTATTGGAAAAAGACCACAGAGGTTGGATAGGAGACACGAAAAAGAAGAGGAGGAGGAGGGTAACGGCAAGAAATGGTACCGAGAGCGCATTCGCCATCGCAGTCGGGCCGTGATCTAGCAATGTATGTACGTATGCATGTTGAACTTATTTTGCACCGTACATAGCCAACCGTGCTAATCGGAGGTGCGGCGGAAGGACAGCACACTACACGCAAAAAGCAATTCTAGAGAAATTAAGTTTTACATTTTTATTTAAAAGTGCATAGCTCCAGTGACTTTCTAATATCGTGAGAAAGTGTGTTCCAGACGGCCGCAGAAACGCATCTGAAAGTGCGCGATGCAGCGAGCGTCTTTGTTCGATGGCTAGACAAAAGCCGTCGTGAATACCAAGCAAACTTATTATAATTATATTGCGTGCGTACATGTATGGTCGCTTTGTCAAGCCACCTCTGAATAAGGCTTCCACACGCCACTTGGGATATGGGGGCCCATTAATCATATTTCACCACGATGGGTCAGCGCGGGTTGGTGATTGCACGGAGCACAGGCCTGTGTGAGCATAGAAGTACACTACAATGGCTTTTCCTGCGCTGCCCTCTGTCGCCTACCAGACAGCCCCACAAGTTGCCGCCTTCGCATCGCGGGGCAATCCATGGATTCTAATTAAAAAAACATTTTACTGAAATTTATTTTTAAAAAACTTACCATCGCTACCATTCCACCTTATTGTACGCATACACGTAGAAAGACAAAGGACGGCCCCGTATTTGCCAGACGGGCCCTTGGGGGCAAGTCCCGTCGGCGAGCACCTATTCACACGCTCGGCATTCACGCACGGCTGAGTCGCAAGCTTACTTCCGTCTTTTCCGTCCGCGTCGCTCGGCAAGCCCTCACCGCTGCTCACGGTCACGATGCTCTCAGCGTCTGAGCCCGGAGTCTCCAGGGAACACCTCTGCGAGCAGGCAAACAGCGGCGGAAGGGTCGCACGTGGCTCCCGCACAGAGCGGTGTAGTGCGGTGCGGTGTGGTGCAGGGGCACGGCCGCTGTGGATGTTGTGGGTGTCCGGAGACCGCCAACATTTCTTTTAGAAATTGCTAAGAGACACCCACAACGTTTTGCTCTCCTATCATTGTCGGTACTCCAGCGCACAGATACATTCACACAGTCAGCACACACAGACACATTTACACAGCACGCACATTCAAAGAGTCAGGACACACACATATATTCACACAGCAAACCAAGACAAAGATCCCCCGTGTAACCTCAAAAGACTATTCACCCAGCAAACACACACACACACGTGTAATGTAGCTGCACCCCTGGTGTGATTGGTTGCGAGGTGGCCAGGCTCTTGCAGCACGGCTGTACATTCGTGGATCATCAGATGGGGAACTTTGGAGATGTGCAGCCGCTCCCAGCTAGCAGTGCAGTGCCCTGTGATGGTGCGCTGTGGTGCAGTGTTGTGGAGTTCACTTTAGCAATTTCCCTACACACTGGAAAACAACTGATTTTTCCATGGTGCGTGCACACTCTTGAGCTGACGCGAAGACATCATTAATCGATGGGTTTCCGAACGGAATTCTACCGGGCAGCTTTGAAGTGAAGCTCTGTCTGGCGAAGAGTCCTGTTATCCAGAGCTTTTGAGTCGGCACCATAAATCCACCTTGGCACACTTATCGGCGCATACTAGCAATCATCGCAAACATTCGCTGACATGAAAAACACAAACACTGGCCAAAACGTTTGAAAGCCTGGACCGGCGCCTCTACCTTTTCAAGCTCCTCCTTGGCCCGAGGCAGAGTGCCACTGGCCTCTGCCGCCGCCGCCGCCGCTGCCACCGCCGTTTTATTCTCTGGGTCGCAGATTTCCTGAAGCACCTGTGGAGAGCGATTGTGCTTGAGCGGTGAACGGAAACCTTCCACCAGAAAACGTCCCACGGGCATCTGACTCTTTGTTCTGGGGTCACCGTGCCTACGCCTTTTTTGATTGGGCACGATGGTTGTTCTCTCGTGCCACGCGGCATTCCAAGGGTCCAGCAGCCTCACCACCACCACCACCACCAATCCCTCCTCCCCGCTCCGTACCCCTTTAGCGAACGCCGGGGTCAACTCATTGAGCTATGAGGGCCATTTGCTTTTCATGCAGGCAATGAGGGAGGCATTTAAACCCGCACGAAGCAATCCCACGGGCAAAAATAAAAATAGGGCCGCCTTTGTGTCGCAAAGTGGCCACGGGGAACGATATCATGTGAGATAGCACGAGACGAGCCTTCCAAGTCTGGAACATCTGCTCCAAAGAATGTAGCCCCCTTAAGATCCCTCAGAATACGCGAGCACGTGTGCTCGGCGAACACCCGCGGTCCCCACGTTACCGACACATCAAAGTGGACGCAAAGCATTTAATCTCACCCATCGCCGTGTACGAGTATAGGTGATTTTTTTTCTCCCCCCAAACTGCAGGTGCGTCGCCTTAACTGATATATACCGATACCCCCGCTGTGCATGCATCTGTGCACACACGTAGGTTGAAATACACTCGCAACCAAACAATGCTGCAAATAAGCTGTGCATTGCACGTAGTAGCCCATTCAACACATTTGAATTGCACGTGACATTTAAACTGAATGCGTAATAATAAAACCCATAGCAAGCTTATTGCTATGCGTATCATGAAATATCCAGCTATATTCAATTAAGGAGTTTGACAGTAATTGTCACACTTACGCAGGACTTCAAACATTCACTGCTTGAATAGTACATCGCAATAACATCGCGCTTAAATCTCAAATCGCCAAATCCTAATTTCGCAACCTTTCCCATTCGCTTGGCCTTGCCCCTCACACCGTCACGCCACCGTCACGCCACCGTCACGCGCCACCACACTCACCTGCCTCCAGTGCTCCGCGTGCTCCCTGCTGGCTGCCGCGAGTACCAGCGGATCGGAGTCGGCGCGGGAGATGCGGATCTCGTGCCGCGTCTTCCGCCTGCCAGACTTGACGGCGTACGCCACCGTGCAGCCTCCCAGCGCCAGCTCCAGCTGCGGGCTCTTCTGCCGCGAGTTCTTGTAGCACTGCGTGTGGCGCGGAGGAGGCGAGGAAATTGTCACGGCGCTGGGGGTTTACGCATTCGCTCGCTCACTCCGTCCGTGATGGGCGAGGGTGGCACGACAACCCTCGTAAAGATGACCGCGCTTCTGATTTGTTCCCGCAACTCCAATGCGCACGGGTTGGCTATGTACGGTGTGGAAAAAAGTTCAACATACATATACATACATGGCCCGATATGATTTCAACTGCGGTATAAAGTTGTGTTGCTATTCGAAATTCACCCTATTTATAACTGGACAACTTGGAAAAAGGGTATTACAGTCATCGACCAATTAGACCACGCAACGGTGTCCAGGAATGTGAACGTTTATATATTAAACAACGCGTTGGGGTACAGCAGTCTTTTTATTATCGACGCTTTCCATCTAAGATTGCTTTTTTTGCACGAGATTTGTCTGTCAGTCGGTATCAAATGTTTGGTAAAACCCTGGAGTCACAAGCCAGAGCAAAAAGTACTATTCGCAAATTTGCGAGAGCACTTTGCACTGCTAATTCATCATTTCCAATAACAAGTGCATTTTGGGAAGAGTTCCACAATACGTGCATTATTTTTCCAAACTCGTTTGTTTGTTTTGTTTCAACAAGTGAGACATTGACCATAGAAAGAAGATCGTAGTTGTTGTGAACACATCTTCCCACAATTGCGTTGGGCTTAAGTAGGAAACAGCTGGTGGGGTGTTGGTGGTGGATGGGATGGATATTTGTGTGTAGAGCTCAAAGGACAATCAAAACCCATTTTATATTTGTCTATCTACAGATTGAAAAGCCAATTAGAATGGGTTTTTGTTTTGTTTACTCCCTGGACATTGAAACAGAGATGTGGATTGGCAAATCGGGCACCAACGAAGGCAGATGCCTCCTCTGTTAGCCCGGACAGCCTGTCAGTGGTACCAGCCGACTTTGCCGTTTCATTGATCACAGCAAGTCACACACAGCACACGTTCTGCACTTATGTACAGTTTATTGCATGCCGCACGTGTTTCGTGTTGTTCTAAATGATCTCCGAGAGTTTTGCGTCACATCCCGTGCAAAGAAAAAGTGGCCACAGTTTGAAATGAACCCGAAACACCCAAAATAGGAGTTCTCTGTTCGTATTAATAACCGACAAAGAAAAAAATAAAATGTCAGCACTAAACGGCCTTGGCAATGGCGCTAATTTCTAAAACCACATCCAGTTGCTGTCGCTAAGCCGCATGTCGCATTCATCCGCGCGCTGCTCAACGCTTCCCCCCACCCACCCACCCCTCTCTTTACGTCCCAACTATGACACAATAACATCACTTCCTCTGGGCTCCACGCAAACAGGCTGCCTCTTGTGTTTTTTTTTTCTCTCGAATGGAGTCACTGTATTACGTTAGGCCCCGGAGCTGCCACCGCCGCTGCCGAGGAGGAGCTGCAGGGGTGCGGCTGGCGGGGAGGAGGCAGCAGCAGCTGCAGGATTAGCGGCGACAGCATCTTTGTTATTGAGTCTCTAACAGCGGGAAGTCTCTGGGTCCCCATGGGCCAAAGCTGTGCTCAATTTGTTGCGTTTCTCTCTCTCTCTCTCGCGCGTTCTGGATCATCATCGCAGTTCCGGGGGCAAACGATTTCCTCAAGAATGACAAATTGCGGCAGGCGATCGCGCCGCAAACATCGGCGACGCCGCTTCGCTTGTGCCGCAGAAAGTTCTGCGTGTGTGTCGTGAAACGCGCGCCCTGCTACTCCGCCAACATGTCTACATAAACATAATAATAAAAACACCCTCGGAGATCGCCATGTCGGAGAAACATGGAAAGCAAGTTGAGTCTCGCATACTGGGCCTCATGTTGTGTGCACAGCGCCCAAATGCAACCCTCGTCTCAAGACTGTGTACAGAAACAGCGTCCTTTTGGAGTGACACGTGAGGAACCAGACACGCCTTGCAAAAAGATCTTTCATCTCAAGGGATCATCCAGGCGCACATCTCCTTTATGAATGGAAAATTAAAGACAATCCCCAGCAGTTTAATCGTGGCCATGCTACTCAAATTATGTATCTGTAGAGTAAACCCACTGTGGTCTGCACTCCCTCACTAGCGGAGGAGCAGGCAAACTACACAAACTCTCTCCTGAAGCCCTGTCGCGGCTTGCAGCCCTCGACATAGCCATTTAGCTCCCGAGCATATTGCCATCGTATGCAAGAAATAGAATAGAGCCCATGTAAAATATTGAAACAACAAAGATATAGTTTCGGATGTACCCACACCTTATTGATCAGCTGTCAGACACTTTATTGCCACGATTATTGCTCTTAAGCTTGTGTTTGTGTACTGCATCGCCACGTGAAACGGAGCTAACGAGCGTGAAACAAACGATTGGAATGGAAAAAATGTGGAAAAAATTGGTCCAACACGCAGCTGCATAGGAGCCGACTGAAGTGACCGCTTTGTTGCAAGAAAGAGCAATTTTGATCGGCGGTGTTGAGTTTTATTGCAAGGCTGAGAATTATTGAAATTGCTCACATTGTTTCTGGCAGCATGCTCAGGATGTGTTTAAAATGTACTCGCTTTCGCAACGGTACGGACACTTGAGGAGAGGGAGACAGGATTCGTGCTCTTGACTCCCTGCGCCAGGCTCCAAGTCCTCATATGCCAGTAAAAAAGTATGATAATTGGTTTTTTAACCCTGGCAACAAAACTGACACTTTTTTTTTTACAAGGAGTCATGTTTGCATAGACCATAATACCTGCAGCCATAATGCAAACAAAAACCATAACTCTGATAATATGCTTACCCCGAGCTCTGAGTTGTGCGCCTTTTGGCATCATCTGGTCCAACCCATGTGAGACTAGGCTCTAAGGAAAGCTGTCTCGGGTGTGGACCAATCAACTTCAAGGACAGTGCATACATTATCAGAGTTATGTTATTTGTTTGTATTATGGCTGCAGGTATTGTGGTCTATGCAAACATGACTCCTTGTAAAAAAAGATGTCAGTTTTGTTGCCAGATAAAAGGGTAAAAAAACAATTATCAGGCTCCAAGTCCTTTCCTTTTTAAATCCTTTATATTAAGTTCACTTGCTTGCTTGCTTGCGCGCTTACGACCGTGCAAATCTTTCGGTCGTTTTTTAACCCACTTCCCGTGATCCAATCGAGCTGACATTTTGCACACAGACTCGTTGTGCGTGACAATTTATTTTCGTGAAAAAAAATTTCCCAAATTTTCCACTTTTTATGGAAAAAAACATTTCATATTTAATTTAAAATAGCAATGTGATAAAAATGAAACTCTTACTCAAGAAAAACAGAAATAAATAATAAAATAAAACCGATGCCACGCATATAAAGGATTTTTAGTGAAAAACTTTGTTTTTACGGGTAAATTTTTTACCCCTCTGCCTACGACCGCCTGCCTCAAACAAAAAACGCACACCGTTCTAGCGCAGTGTCCTGAGGTCGCCGCTACATTTAGACGCCCTACAAAGCTACGCTGCATCTTACTGCAAAGAGGAGTGGGGGGCAGCCCTGCGATGCATGCTGACCTCACCGACGGCGGAATGACCCCCCGCTAGACGGAGCTCAAGAGACCCTTTCTAGCGTGTGCTCAGCCTACTCTTCGCTCGTCTAATGTCGCGGAGGAGGGCGAGAGTACCCACACTTGACTGCGGAGCAAACATCTCTACCGCTGGGTTGACAGAGGCGGAGAGAATCGAACAAACGTGCCCCGTTGTCGCAGCTGAACGATATCGAACGAGCGACCTCCGGATTGCGAATCCGTTGCACGGACCATTACAGCATGGAGGAAATTCCTCAAAAAATATATTTTACAAAAATCTATCCCACCTCGAATGTATCGCGGTGCGTTTTCATGTAAATGTTTGCAGAAGAGCGTGCGATGGAACGTTGCAAACGCGCGCAGAATATTTCGGGCAGATAAGCTTCTGAACGTCTTTCCCAACTTCAGTTTCGAAGTTCAACCTCGGCTCTGCCGCCGACTGCCGCATGCAGAACGAAGAGTGGTGCAACTTGAAAGAGGGGGAAAAAAGGCAACGGTTCCGGGAGAGGGCAGAGACGCGCGTGTACACTTTGGGCAAACTCACCAGCAGCCGGTCGCCCCTGAGCACGCACAGCTGCTTGGCCCACTGCCCGAACCGTTTCTTGCGGAGCATGAAGGCGCACATGCGCGAGCCTTGCGCCAGGCCCAAGGACGCCTCCGGCGGAGGCCACTGAGGCGTCGACCTCTGACCCTTCCCATCGTCCTCCTCTTCCTCGTACGATTCGTACGAGCTGCTGAGGGCGTCGGAATCGTCTGGGAGGGGTTGGAGGAAAAGTGTGAGGGGATCTGGGCGGAGAGGTCACGTGCGACGGCACCTCCGTTCGCGTCGTGAAACTCAACAGGAGGTGTGCGACACTTGCGTATCGCAGCGGTGCACGAGGTCCGTGAGTAAAAAAAACTCCAAACACCTTTGAATAAACCTGTCCTGCATCGATTCGGGATACGGCCTGACGTATTACGCCGTTCAGTTTGTTTTGTTGCATGGTTACACCGCAGTGCAGTGCACGTATTGAAAATAGCATGCAGCGTGGGAAAGATCAGTGGATGAGAGGTCACGTGAAGCGGCCCGAGATGTAGTTTTCTGACATCACATTCCACAGGCCGTCATATTCTTAGGTTTTTTTCGGTAAAGTCACGTAGCTAAATTTTTTTAAATAAAAGTGAAATTAAAATAAAATAAAAATCACGACGTTTCGGAGGCAACACAAGCTTCCGTCTTCAGGTGGAACCGTCACAGCACGATAGCTGTATCAAGTAACTTCTTGCGGAGCATGTAGCTTGATACAGCTATCGTGCTGTGACGATTCCACCTGATGACGGAGACTTGTGTTGCCTCCGAAGCGTCGTGATTTTTATTTTATTTTTATTTTACTTTTATTAATTTTTATTTAAATTTTTTACCTATGTGACTTTACCGAAAAAAACCTAAGAATATGAAACCTTGCAGTCACGAAAGCTTCAAATCTAGAATTCCACAGGCCGTTCTATGGCGTGGGGCGGTGCGCCCCTCTCTTTCGCGAGAACCCAACGGACACTTTTGTCCCCTGACAAGACACCGTTGGCCCAATTTGAGAGAATAAAGATTGCGAGAATACGGCAGAATAGAGCTCTTGTTCTGTACGAAGCTCACCTCTGTTGTCTGGCGTGGTGGAGTTAGGGGTTGGGGGGTACGTGGCGTCTTCGTAACAGCCTTCAGCATCCACACTGGAGGCTGTGGCTGGACTCGTGCAGTCTGGGATACGACAATGAATCGACCTTTTATTTACATGGCGCACTTCGCATTTAATAAAGACGCTTTACATAACGTGAAATATACACGGAAATGCCCAACGCTTAGAAGAAATCAAATCTTGACAAGGTAAACGTACCCTCGGCAACATCATTTTAAGTTAATTCGTGAAAGATTATATGATAACGAAGACCTCTGGCTAGAATCAAGCAATAGTACAGTAAAAGCATTTACGCATCTCGCCTCGTGTGTTTGCACCGTTGTAACAGATGCGCTTAAGGGCTCGGATTTTTAATAAACATTTAAATTTATTTAAACTATATCTAAAATATAAAACATCGGGAACTCACACAGCTTTGCCCAGCAGCCATTCATTTTCCATTTTAACATCATAAAAAATGTTTCTACTGATATAATTTTTTTTACAAACTTGGGTTTAAGGATAAACATTATTTTTGGATTGTGGTATTTCTATAGATAGCAAAAGAGAAAACTTACGCTTGAAAGTTAAACAGAGGGGAAAAACATTTAGACCCTTCCCAACTCACGACACACTGACGATCGCCAGACTGCGCCGATCGTTAACCACACGACATTGGAGGCTTTGCTTTACGAGGAACTGAAATCCCACTCCAGAATATCCCTCAATGTTTACTACATCAGCAAAAGTCTCCTCTAATCCTCTGCCAACCGGCCCTATTTGTTACCCTCGCCTCTGCACGCAACAAAAGTCTCTCATCTCACCGAAGAAGTGGTTGAACTCTGGGAGTATTCCCGATTCAAACGAGACGGCCTCTTCGTAATGATCTTCCGGAGATGAAGGAAAGCCTTCCTCGGGATCCTGACCACACAGACGCATGCAACACAAACATCCTGTGTCCAAGGGCTTGCAGACTTACTGTGGCATTGCTGTTATGACGGGCATCTTTTAGAAGGCTGCAATAGTGCCACAACGAGTTGGTGTTGCAAACACCGTGTCGCGACTCCCCTTTGTCTACACCCAATGCTGACGTGAACAAAACAACCGCGCCAGGTAGCCGATCTAAGAGAAGGTCCCAGGCATGGTTCAGACCCCAACAGACACCATCCAGGCGCCGCTATCCAGGTTTCAACAAAAAATCTGCACGGCTTCCGAGATCCGACGAGATTTGGCGCAAGATTCTGTCAGCTACATTGAACGTTTGTCAACATTTATTTAGTTAACAACGCACACTTGTGCTATAAACATTATCAGCGTCGCATGGGGGCCGTGCTCTTTTCATTTCCTACCTTTCCCGCTACCTCTTCCGCCCGTGAAGAATCGCTCGTTCAGACCCCCGCTCCGCAGCCCACACAGTGGGGCACGCTGCTGCTTTTGCCATCATGCGTGTGTGTGGTTTTTTTTAACCTCCAACCCATTGGAATTCTTTTTTTTAATGAAACTCAGTAGACCGACCTGCCTCTACTGCCGTACAGTGCCTGCACCTCCCCTACGGCAACCTGGGCCGTTTGACACCCCAGAGTCTGCCGCACATTAATATCCAAGGAATGAGATCATTGTTTTGTACGGCCCTTTTTGACTCCACCACCGGATGAAGGCTTCTCCCATGCCTTGTCAGTCACGGGGGGGGGGGGGGGGTGAACACAAGAACGGTTCAGATATCACTCACCACTGATGCCCCATCTGTTAAAGGTGATCCCAATAGAAACTTCATTTAAAATACAACACCCCCCGCCCCCCACCTTCATCCCTGCAATGTGCACATCCTCCTCTTTGTACAGAGCCTTGATATGCTATTTCGTTTGGACGTTATGCAAATTAAAATCGTAATCGGCTAGGACGAAATGTGCAGTGGACATTTCGTCCTCTGCCCATGGATCGTGACGACGATGATGATGATGATGAATTGGGTAGGAACAATGTCTTTCTGCCAATGATGAGAAAATCACCCGAAATCCACACGATCTCATTCGAGCTCAAGAGCCGTGAGGGGTTCAGCCTGGATACTGCTTCCACGGGTGATCAGTTTGCATGTTGCAAGCGTTACAGGTTGTGCGCTTACGAGGGGAGCGGGAGCTGGAGCGGTTAGCGCCCTGCACGATGAACCCGGCGACCCGAGTTCGATTCCCGCTCTGGGCCAACACCAGTGACGATTATCTGAACCGGTCCCTGGCCTCCCCCTAGGTCGACTCAGCCTCAAATGAGTGCCTGGTGCGGTGTGTAAACATGGCCACTAGGGAGACAAAGGCGGCCGGGCGTGGTGTTGGCCACCCACCCCTTCGTGTGCCGTGCCGGCCTTTATAGGTGCTCGCTAACAGCACTTGCCCCAACAGTCTGTTAAGGCATTACAGGGGATCTTTGCTTTGCACTTATGTGTGAGGGAGCAGAGAGGAGTGCAGTAAAATCCATTTCAGTGTCTTACGTCCACGCTACCACACCTTCACCAACCCGCACTGACCAGGGTGGTGAAGTATGGTCAAATTACAGCAGCAGCAGCTTGTGGGAGACACTCATCCAGCAGTGGACTGCCGAAGCGCCGTACGCTGCGTTACCCTTAAACCTCTTCCGTGATATATTTCACTGCAGGTGGGGAGAAAAGTAGCGTCTGAACGTTTAAATTACTGCAACACATTCAAAATAATGTAGGGGGGGAGGGGGGTGCAGTGGTGTAGTGGTTAGTGCACGGCACTGTGAACTTAGTTGACCCTATCTTGATTCCTGCCCACGGCTAACTTCAGTGGCAAGTGTCCTGGGGGCCCACCGACCCAACCTTCACCAACCCGCAAAGCAAGGTCAGGGAACGCTGATGGCCAGCACGGCATGTGCAATATTACTATTCTAAATCGTTATATATTAATAATAACGCTTTAAGCTTTCCATTGTTTGTGCTAAGTCCGACGAGGCGGTGAGCACGATGGATAGCCCACAGCACTCAATTGGATGCAGACTGCAGGTCGGGGCTACATGGAAAGTGTATTCTCATGGATCGGCAGACAATGTTGTAGACTCCATGGGCCAAAGTTCATGTTGCACCAAGGGTATGTTCAACTGTACCACGAGACCCCAGGAACGCATTGAATACTGCAGTCGTTGCACAGAGAGAGAGAGGGAGAGCGAAAGAAAGAAAAAAACCACCCCACCACCAAACACAGAACTTAAAAACGCAAACCATATGCCATGTTCACGACGAGCGCAAATTCTGACGTACGGTTTGTTATTAAACAACAAAAAAGCAACGCCGCCAGCGTGGCCAGGCGTTTTAACGCGAGCAAGTTGCTCGGTAGTTCAAGGATCCTGGCGGCACATTTGCAAAGCCTTCGCCCGCGGAAAACCGTTTATCCGCCCGTAAAAGCGGCCTGCGTTTATTGTGCCGTCTCCATTGTGCGCTTTGAGCTTTGGGCCCCGCGAAATGTGGAAGCAATAAACACTGTTGCAGTGGTCTGGACTCCGTGCTACTGGGACATGCAGGGCTTATTCCAGGATGCCACTTGGAAGCAGGATGAGAGGGCCCATCAAACGTTTAAAAAATATATTAATTTTATTCCTCCAAGTCAGTAATAGCCCAAAAAGTAATCAGTGAGTAGTGCAAGGCCTGGCCAAAGAACAACGATGTTCTGAGTCAAAGCACGGTCGCGGGAACCTTCTGTCCAATTCAGTTAGAGTGTTCGTATTATTGGATTGCTCGAGATGGGCACAGCGTTTAACGTGCTGTGCCATGAACCCGTTGACCTGGGTTTGTTTCCTGGTCCTGAGTAACATCAGTGGTGGGTTATATCTGCGGCGGTGCTGGGTATCCCGACCCCTTCACCAACACCCCACTGACAAACGTAGTGAAGTATGGTCAAACAAACTCATGGGGCTGTAAATTATTGTTTTATTCATGTAAGTTGTGGTTTTTAGTCAAAGCGATTTCCTGCCAAAATGAGCACTGACGCGGTGCTCAACTACTGTTTACAGCCCTGAGCCAGTGGTTGACATTCCACATTCCTATGACAGGAGCTGGATACTCATAGGACAACCACTGTCGACTTCCCCACAAAGGGGTGCGTATTTTATCAACACCGGATGAATTATGGACCAAGACAACCCCCAACCAGGGTGTGAACTCGAAACGTTCCCATTGCTCCGACCCTGAGCCACCCAGCCGGATTTTTGGACACGCATGGGGCCTTTGCTGCGAGTCCTACTAGCCAAGGCCTCAATGCCTCTAAAAAAAGATCAGGCGCTTTCCATGTCCGTGAAATTACAACAACAACAAAACTTGTTTACCCGATATCCTGCACCTGTAGGCTATTTCAAAAGAGGCCGCCCAATTACTGATCAATTAGAAGGTCTTCCTAAGAAAACAGACATTCCGTTTCAATTTGACACTAATTTCCACAAATGAAGGTTTTGTCCGTGGCATGACAACAAGAGCACCACGTTTACCCTGACCCATTGCTGGCAGTTGCCTGGCGAAAACGAGAAGCGGTAAGTGGACAGTAATTGTGGTAATTTTATGGTAGCCTTTAACAATTTCCTCCAAGGAGGCATCCTCTAACTCGCCGGCCACCGCCACCACAAAAAAACAAACACGCGGCACAAACAACGGGAGCTGGGCCGACTTCCAGCGCGCGTAGGAGGGACGGACCAAGCACGTGGACAGTGGTGCCGGGTACTCCGGCCGTGTTTGCACAAGTGGGAAAAACTTCAAAAAGCCAGCGGTGGTGAAGAAATATTCAAGAAAACGGGACAGTTCAAAGGCAGCAACCTAAAAAACATTTCAACAAAACACACACATCTAAAGTAGGTGCTTGCGCAAATATTTTTGCCCGCTCAAGAATGCTTGTGGATTTCAAGCCCTTTTTAAAAGTAAAAAAAAAACCGACGTCAAATTCTAGCCCTGGATGTCAGGCTGGGCACACGTTCACACACAACGACGCACGCGCAAAAAATACCTTGGCTGGCAAAAGAGCAACGGCAAGTGGGAGTCGCGACTCCGCTGAACCGGCCAAGACCGTTCGGAATTCTCGGCAAACTTGCGAACCTTCCCAAGCAGTTTGCGACATCTAGAACAGTGACGATAAACGCAGAAGCCCACCACTATAATCATTCCGAGTTCAGCTGCACAACCGCAACCCACTTTAGTAGGGGGTGAGAGGGGAAGGGGGAAAGAATTTAAAAAGTCGCAGAGAAATTTGGTGCCCGTCAAATCGCCCGCAGCTTTTTGACAAGTGAAGGTCTCCGATAACGCTAAACATGTGCTGGAGAATCGGGGCTTGTGCGATTAATTAAATTATGCCAAAGACACATTGGCACAAATCTCAGCCGGCTCGACGCTCTGCTCCATGGTGCGTTAACGCCACCCAGAACCAGACAGCCTGGCCCCTCTGTGGTGCATCGATGCCACCCAAGGCCAGACAGCGTGGCCCATTTGTGGTGCATCGATGCCACCCAAGGCCAGACAGCGTGGCCCATCTGTGGTGCATCGATGCCACCCAGGGCTAGACAGTGTGGCCCATCTGTGGTGCATCGATGCCACCCAGGGCCAGACAGCGTGGCCTATCTGTGGTGCATCGATGCCACCCAGGACCAGACAGTGTGGCCCATTTGTGGTGCATCGATGCCACCCAGGGCCAGACAATATAACCCCTCTGTGGTACATCGATGCCACCCAGGGCTATTTTACTATTGTTATTTTTACCAGGTAAGGCCCACTGAGCTATGCAGCTCATTTTTAGAAACTACCTGGTCACAAATGATAGCTCAACAAAGTGACTTATCACGTGGAAATTAATAGCAGTCAAAAAAATACACGTGATAACGGGGAGAGAGACATGCAAACTCCAGAGTAGGGATCGAACCCACGAACCTCCTGCAACCAGGTAGGCAAATTACCATCTTGCCACCGTCGCTAAACAGCGTTGCCCATCTGTGGAGGTACTGCAGACAATCCCCGGGCGAGGGTTGTGATTTGTGTTCGTTTTTTGTCAAGACCCTCCCCTCGAGGGACCAATTCTTTACTGGATGAGAGAATGGGACTGCTTGTGTGTTCTCCCAGTTGCCCTTTTCAATGAGTGTGCAAAACTAAAATTGTGACCAATGCAATAATGAAGCCCAGTACATATGCTTTGCTGTTAAGAATTGAGCCACTGATAATGCGAAAGCAGTCTTTTTTGGTAGTCCAAGTTTTGTTGAAATTTTTTTCACAAAGCACAACTGCCTTTTTTTTTAAAGTGGGACAAAACGCAGAGTGGCCGGGTGCAAGACCCAACATCAGTGAACCTTCATCTGCACACCCTAATGGATTTTTCTCATGTTGTAAAGAATACAGAAGCGAGGGCAACGGAGGGCAGGTTAACCGGGTCGGCACGGGCGGTCACACTCGGCTTTTGTACACGCGGCAAGGAAGCCGGGCCCTGTGTAGTTGAGTGGACGAGCGTAAGAGTGAGAGAGATAAAGCAACCCCCCCCACCCCTCCCCCACAGACACTGCCAAGGCCTGTACGGCTCCCGCGGTTCCGGCAACGTCACCGAGACAGACGCCTTCCTTTGTGGATCATCTCGCCGGGCCACGCGCCCCCAACTCCGCTTGCCATTGGGGGGGGGGGGGGCACAGAGGAGCACGTGTCGACAAACGCCGCAAGTGGGAGGCCGCGAGTGGGTGGGTGGCCGGCCGGCGGCTATAACCCCCGACGGAAAGTCGGGAGTCCAGTGCACAATCGCGGCCTTTCTTAAGTCACCGGTCCACCTAGGGCGAGTCACGGCGATGAGTCACCATCGCCAAACAGAGGCAATGGGGCCTCACAAGCAACGGCACGCTGGAAGCCAACTCAGTGGACGTCTCCGCCGTGGGTGGAAGCCCGAAGCGGTCAATAGCAAACATTTATCCCACGATCGTCTCCTTTCCGCCACTCGGATGCGCGTACAGAAATGTTCACAACTGCATTATTTTTGCGTCAGCTTTCCGACGTAAAAACTGACGTACGTGTAACGAGCGTCAGAAGCACAATGCCATTCTGACACAAAATGAGATGCAGGCCGTGTGACATGACGTGAGCCAAAAGGGACTCCCATCTCTGCTTGGATTGGAGAATAAAACACAACCTACTCGGGTGCTTTAAGCCTCGAGCTTCATCGCTCTGCGCAATGCAAGTGTTTCCCCAACACCGACTGGTGCTTACGTTCTGTCATTGTACTCCTGTGCCGAGCCAGACAACCTGAAGGCAAGGTCAATCCCGAGACAGACAAACTGCGCACACCCCCTGCCACCCCCTCTCTCTCTCTCTCTCCACGGTTCTGGCCCTCCTCGCTGGTGGTTTGTTCGCCCGATAAAGCAGATGTGAAGTGCAGTGCGCTGGGGCCCTGGTGCTTCTACAGCAACCACGAGAAGCGCCTCCCCAAGCCGAGTGATTGCTAAGAAGGAATTGTCAGGAGGGGGACTTCTACCCCCTCTCTGCCAATTAAACAGGAGGTGTGTTAAGATCTTCAAACAACAAAGAGATGTACTATTTTAAGGCGTCAAGTCTGCGTTGACCACACGTACTTGTGTTAAAACGTACAAACAAACGTGGTATATGCCATCAGAGCGTGTTTGTTTAATGAAAAAAATACGAATAGGTTTTACCCTTTCTGGTAATAAAACAGGAAGTGTTAAGTTGTTCGATCACTCAATATATACCTATTGCAAGGCGTCAAATCACACATGCGTCTGGCAAAACATTCAAACAAACGTGACATATGCCATCAGAGCGTGTGTGTTTGCATGTTTTGTCACAAAGCACGTGTGTTTAATTGCAACAGGTATCGATCTGGTGTTTAAACAGCTTAACACCTGTTTAATTTCCAGCAAGGATATGAAGCTCATTCTTATTTGTGTCCTCATTTTGACACTGCCATAAAGGTCCCATAGGCCCAAGCAGAGTCTGAAGCGGAGCACATTCACGCTCAGAGACGGGAAGACCCCCCCCACTCCCCCATATTGCCACTGAGTGGCTGCTGCTTTAAACGCTGTGAGAGAGCATCTGTAGCGCTGCAATGTGGTTGGCTGAAAGTGAATCCCTGTATCAGTGGAAGAGGCAAGCTCCGATTCCCCCTGCTCGCCTTCACCAACTTTCACCGACTAACAATGTATTATACGTTATTATTATATATATTCTACTTTACCCAGGAAAAACTCACCGAGTCCCGTGACTCTGTTTCAGGAGGGTTCTGCCAAAGTTTTTATCAGGAAGGGGTGCGATGATTCCTACGTATAAACTCCTGATTGAGTAAACTGCGGGGAAATATTTCAAATTTGGGAAATGTGGACCGCGACGCCTTGATCTCTAACGTCCACCATGAAGCGGACGGCGCTCATGTTGCGGTCAATACACTACGGCAGTATTAACCAGGACGGCCGCTGGATTTCAACCGCGAACCTCTGCAACAAGCGGTGAGCACACGACCGCCAGGCCATGCGTGTCCAAGAAATCTCACCCAGCGGCGGATGGTCAAAGAGCTTCAAATTATTACTTGTAAACAATAACGCTCTCCACTATGGGAACCTCATTTGCCAGTAAAAATATGATTATCTGGCAACAAAACTGACACCTTGTGTCAGTTTTGTTGCCAGATGTTGCCAGATAGAAGGGTAAAAAACCAATTATCAATAACGCTCTCGTCATTTTTGCCGTTTTCCTTCAAGCAGCTGTCGCAAAGTCAAACGACGCAGCCACGTGAACATAAAACCCCACCCTGGTGTTGTGCATGGGTTAGCGTGCACAAGCGTATCGACTTAGCTCAGTGTCCTCGGCAGGCCCCAATAGAATAACTCGTGAGCAACGAGTCACCATCGTCGGTCCCTTCCGCCCACTTATTACACTGGTCAACACACTTTTTCTGGCATAAGGTATTCCAACGGTTTTAATGTAATTTTTGGGTGCTGATTCCAAATCTGGCATCGGTTTTTGTCTATCACATCAGGTTTTTGAGATATCAAATATTGCATTTTCAAAATAAACTGCAGAAAAAAAATATTAAATAAATGGGGATATCTACATAAAATTATATTATAAACACACTATCCTAAACATACAGCACCATAGTTTAACACTAAAGCAGTCACTGACTCGCAACAACTTGCAATCATAAGTGACAGAGTTAATTTCGGGTAAAATCAATGAAAATGGGGTATGCCGATAGCATAAAAATCAGATGTAATAGAGCAAATCTGAGATCATATTTGGAATCAGCACCCTGAAGTTAGTCTAAAACAGCTGCAAAAGTCCAGGCCAGAAAAAAATGTTTTTTTTGTTTGACCAGTCTTATCGATGATGGGGCCTAACAAATGGATGTCTCCTTCAGCCAGTATTCCTGCTTCACTCAATTGATTTCTTTTTCGTTTGCGTCCAGCTCTTAACGCTGCACCTATCCACCAGGTGTTCCGTCCTTCCCCAAAACCCGTTTAGCTTCCGTGCGCCACCGTCGCCAGGCGCATGATCTCGGAGCATGTCCGGATCACCGTCCTCTTCTTCCCCTCTCTACTTATCCAAGTATCCAGTCGAGCAGCTGTATTAAGTTCACATCAAACGCTTTTGGCTTAAATTCAGAAGCCACCCCCCCCCAACCAACACAGCAACTGCAGGAAACGCTCGCAACACATCTCGCATGCTTCATGTAGAGCCAGCAAAGATAGCCGCGGAGACTAAAGCTTCCGAGTGCAACGTGGTTTACTTTGCACGGGGTGGCATTTTTTTTTTAATAATGTTAACTTTAATACAATTTGTTTTTATCTTTTTTGCAATAAAAATATATTTCAATCACTCTGAATGCTTTTCAGCAGTAAGAGTATAGATGATGGAGGAAATATCAACACACATCCACAAAGGCAGCTTTATTACATCATCTCCTCGTGGATGTAGAATAACAATAATGACCCTGCTACTGTTTCACGGAAAATCAAGTTTGCCCTTCGAGATGTCCGCAAATTTCCACGGGCAGCGACGTTAAATTAATTTTGGAAGCCACTCCAATTTGTCACATCACGATTACATTTCTCCACGCTTGGGGGGGGGGAAAAGGTAATCATTGTGAAATATATATATACACAACGTATACAATTGTGCAATGTACAAACCGAGAAAACTTGAGCATTGCTGCTCTCTTAAGTCGTCGCCTAATCCCCGAGCACTCAGGTACAAGAGCGGAGACGCGGAGGATGAACGGGCGCACCTCTCGGCTTGGCGGCGGCGGTGGCGGCAAGCCGTTACAACACGCGGAAGGAATGTGCGACGAATGAAGGCCGGAGAGGTCACGCTGCCGTGAAGCAGCCTCGTCTCGACGTAGGCACTTTGTGTCGGCTCGTACGAGTGACAAGCCAACTGGGGTAGGGCGGGGGGGGGGCTACGGCGCGGCATCGTCGCTTTAATGCGCTTCGTCAAGCTCGTATCAGCTTTTTTTTCACGCGCACAAGTAATCGGTTGTGTCCGGAGTGGGTTCCCCGTCTCCGCTGTGCAATGGGAAAGCGTGCCCGTCTATCGACATGAATATGCCGTTAATTCTAGATTTGAAGCTTTCGTGACTGCAAGGATTCATATGCTTAGGTTTTTTCGGTAAAGTCACGTAGATAAAAAAAAATTAATAAAAGTTTAATTAAAATAAAATAAAAATCACGACGTTTCGGAATTTCTCTTACTTGATACAGCTATCGTGCTGTGACGGTTCCACCTGAAGACGGAAGCTTGTGTTGCCTCCGAAACGTCGTGATTTTTATGTTATTTTTATTTTACTTTTATTAATTTTAATTTTAATTTTTTATCTACGTGACTTTACCGAAAAAACCTAAGAATATGAATATGCAGCCCCGGACGCGCGATGCCACCTGCCTGCCGTCTCCGAAAGAAACCACCAGTGCCGACCACGGCCGAGGCATGCCGGGAGTCCAGCGTCCCCTCAACCGGACAAAGCATCGCAGACGGCTCAAATTTGCCGACGGATCCTTAAATCGTCGTGAAAATATCACCTGCGACCAATTCACGCAGACTTTGGCCGATCTTGTCGAACCTCGCAAGATGCTCAGGCTTGAGCCAGGATAGCACTAGGGTAAGGTCTTATCGACCCAAGAGAGATGATGAATTGAGTAAGCCCTAGCAGGAATTAAAACCTACCATCACTTCAATCTCGATTTGAAGCTTTCGGTAAAGTCACGTAGGTAGAAAAAATAATAGATCACGACGTTTCGATCGCAACACGAGCAATCGTCATCAGGTGAGACAACCATGGCAATAAAACTGCTGTGGTTGTCTTCCATCACTGCTCTCCTATTGGAGCTACAACATTTCCCAGCCAAAGCCTCATAATGATGCTCAAGTTCAATAAGGGGAACAAAATCACGCATAAGAATGGGTTGTGCATCACTTTCTATCACGTGTTTGTCCTTGGAAGTGTTTAATTAGCTGTGCGGACGCTGTAGGGTAGCGATCAGGACAACATGTTTTCGCATATTTTAGCGTGGTTTATGTCGACATTTTCGTAATGATGATATTACATCATAATTACGAACTATCAGGGTTGCACGTTGCAGGCAAGCAAACAAACGGACAGGCAGTCGTAACACAATTAACACGTTCAACCGTAGTTGAGAAGCATAACAAAAATAGTTGTTGCCGAAGTGAGAGAAAAAAACACATTCTATAAGAGTCAATTTTCTAAAAGACAAATTCAAGGGCATGAGGAGCAGACGAGCAAAGCGTTCGCTCTACTTACAGGCGTGGGCAGCTCGGGGATTCTGGGCAGTGGAAGTTTGGGCCGTGGGAGGGTCCGAGACGTGGGAGTCTTGAGCGGAGAAGGTCCCGCACTCTCCTCTGCAGTCAAAACAACACCGACATTCACGGGCTGAAAGCTCACCATCTCGTACAACCATCAACCACTCGCTTTCGCAAGATACACATTTTTTCGGGGGTGGTTTAACCCCCCAACCCCAATTGTATTCCTATTGCACACTCCAGTGTCTGTGTCGTGAGATATTTCCGCTCAAGACTCTTGCAAGCTAGCAGTGCACCACGCCGTCAATGAGATCATGGGCCTGGAAGACGGCTCGAGAAGGGCTGCGAGCCGCCGAGGCATGCAAGCGCACAAACAAATACAACATCGGTATCCCTCTTCTTGGTTCTTTCGGTAAAGTCACGCAGAATGGAAATAATAAAATAATACAAATAAAACATAATCAAATTATTCCCACGACGTTTCGGCCACAACGCAAGCAGCCGTCCTCAGGTGAAGAACAGGTCTGTCGAGAAGACAGAGTCTGACAGACCTGTTCTCCACCTGAGGACGGCTGCTTGCGTTGTGGCCGAAACGTCGTGGGAATTAATTTCTCATGTTACATTTTTATTATTTTATTATTTCCATTCTACGTGACTTTACCGAAAGAACCAAGAAGATGAATCCCTGCAGTCACGAAAGCTTTAAATCGAAATTCATCGATATCCCGTTATCCCAAACTACTTCTGGGGTCACTTTCGGTAGGCCTCTTTGCCCACACGACGGGCGCACGCCCCCCCCGCCCCCCCGCTCTACAAATTAGCGTTTGCCTGCCAGTCGATCGAAACAACGCTTCTATTTAAAGTGGCATGAGCGCAAATGTTAAAACCACATGCATTTACTTTGCGGACGGAGGGCGGAAGGCGGGGGTTGTGCAGTTATTGGGGAATCTGGCTGCAAACATGTGCTCGCTCCACTTGCACTCAATCACGAGTGGGTACCCACACTCGGACGCCGCATCTCGGCGGTGCCCGCTCAACACCCGACTCGTGAGCAGACCAGGTCAGCTTCCTCAAGATTCACCCTGATGCACGTCCGTCATCACGGCGAACACAACATTGAATGTTATTTTAGTTGACGAGCCTTTGATCGTTTAAAATATGTTGACTTGCAAGTGGTTTGTGAAAAGTCGACAATTGTCTCGGTTGGCTACGCACGGTGCAAAAGTTGTTCAAGATGCATGCATACAAGTGATCTGCACAACCCACGCTAAAGTATAACTTACCGTTCTTATGGAACATTAAAATTCGCAGGTGCACGATCGCGAAACGTAATGCTTTGGGACAGTCTTAGAAAGCTGATTTATTCCGCGCTGTCCGCTTGCAAGAATTTATTTTTCCTCTTGAGTGCAACGCAATTTACAAAACTGTGTTCCCAGAGGGTGGGAAGCGGCACGGGCGGGTAGGTTATTCTCACATTTTATTCCTTGAGAAAATACGCCACGCCAGATGGTCTTGTTTGCTTGTGTTTTTTTATGAAGCTCCGGCAATGGGCAGGTAGTTACGGAGCGAGACGGCATAATTCAAACAACCCCCGGCGTACGTTATTGTTACGACGAGCTCAATCTAAAAACATTTATACAGTTGTCGCAATGCGTGCGCTCCTCGCTCAGTGTGCAAACACCGTGCAATCCCGCGGCGACAAAATCAAATAATTCAGAAACATCCGAGTCGATAGTTTTCATACTTGCCAAAGTTTCATCTTGATTGGCTGAAGTTTGTTTACATTTTAATTGGTAGCGCACTTGCCCAGCAGATGCACGTGGTTCTGAAAACCCAGGTGTGATACTTTGTAGGTCGTACTCCCTCGGAAAGAGAAGCTTCAAAGCTGACCTCTGCTCAAGACTCCCTCGACCATTTTCCCATGGCCACCGAGTTCAATTAATGATCTAAAGATGCATCGATTCAACAATTAGATATCGATTCTCGTTTTGAAGCTTTCGTGACTGCAAGGATTCATACTCTTAGTTTTTTCGGTAAAGTCACGTAGGTAAAAAATGAAATTAAAATTAATAAAAAAAAATCACCACGTTTCGGAGGCAACACAAGTCTCCGTCATCAGGTGTGACAGTCACAGCCAGATTTGCTGTATCAAGTGATACGGAGACTTGTGTTGCCTCCGAAACGTCGTGATTTTATTATTTCATTTTTATTAATTTTAATTTCATTTTTTACCTACGTGACTTTACCGAAAAAACTAAGAGTATGAGTATCGATTCTGGTGCTCAAGATACTGACTCTAGTGTGAAAAATTTATTCTATATATTCGTATAATATACGGCCAATTTGTCGATCAACTGCTGGATGAGGGCCTGCTCCATGCTTCGTCTCTCATGGAGCATGCTTGACTGTACGTCACCACGCTGGTCAATGCGGGCGGGTTGGTGGGTTTGTGGCGAAGGACCAGTGGAGATAGCACATGCGCCCTGGCTGGGAAACTTATGTAACTGGGCTTAGTGCGGTGCGCTCACCACCATGCTACTGTGCCCCCCCCCCCCCCCCCATTCATGTATGTTTGAGGTAATGCATTCACATAACCCTTGCAACCATTTGAGGCTTTACGATGTACTATAATGGGAAAAATATATATTCTTAAGTTGAGTCGCAAACTTGATTCATGCCAATTCATTGAATCGCGAGGAAGGATCGTCACAGGCCTGCAAATTATCTTCCCTGAAGCACACATTAAAATACTGTATACTTCATCTTCATAATGCACTTGGGCGCATATCATTACCATTGTGCACAAAGCCGGTAATAGTACATCTCAGACGACTGGTGGACTTGCTGCTGGGTGCCCACACATTTACACGCCCAATACCTGCGCAACTTAGTACTGGAAAGCATCCGAGAGAATGTTCATCGGGGAGATGGAGCGGTGAAATCAGTTTGTGCGCCAGTGCCGGGTGGATCGTTGCATCACAGGATCCTGAGAGGTGGCGATGGCGGCTTGGGAAGGCCTTTATCCAGCAGTGGATTGACCATGGCTGCCAATGATTATTATTATGATGATGATGATAATCATCATCACGGACACCACGGTGGTGAGATGTTAACTACCTCCCCTGATATGCAGGAGCTCATGGGTTCGATCCTGACCTTAACATCTATATATTTTGAGTTTGCATGCTCTTCCGTGGTTACATGAATTTTTCTCCGGGTTCTCCCGTTTTTTCCCACGCATTTATAATCAACGTGCGTTTAGAGTATTTGGTTGCTATAGATTTCCACACGATCAGCTGCTTCGTCATTTGTGGCCATGTCACTTCTTGAAAAAGAGCTATAGAGCTCAGTGGGCCTTACCTGGTCTCTTAACAAAAATTGTTTATAGTTTAGTTTAAGTTTATGATACCCAAGGATGCTCTCTCTCTCTTTGTTGTTTTCGTAATCGTTAGACGGGCAGGCGAGCCGCTTGTGTGGGCCCCAGCACCCAGGTGATCAACGGTGGCCTCACCGCCCAGCAGCGGAACATGTGTAAGAGGGTCCCACATGTCGGCAGCTATGCCAGGCAGGGGGCCCGGAGTTTATCCAGAAGTGGGAGTTATAGCGAGACACGTGGCTGGAAGTATCGCCACGAGATGACTGCCTTCAACGAAAATGTGTTTCTGATCGGCCGCCTTTACAAAAAATACGTCATCCGAAAATAAAAATGTGCGGGACAGGACGTAAAGGCAATAAGATATTTTTTTTTAAACCACGCCCGGGCGTGCGTTCAACAAATGCTACGTGACAGACCAGTACAGTTGCCGGAGCCATTACTCGGTGATTGCAGGAAGCTACCCGATTCTGCTTACCGATCGAGTTTGCGATAACGCAGGACTGACCGCCGAAAGTACGCGCAATAATGAGTATCCTGAAGCACTGCAGCTTTGGCTCGATGTGCTTTATCCGATTGCAGCGGAAAATCTTCGCCAGGGCGCCAGTGCGACGTTGGGACTCGAGGCACGTCGTTGCAACGCGAACGTCGCGCGAAGGGCAGCGGTGTCGCTGACGGGTTGAACTTTTTCATTGGATACGACAACGCTTTCAGTGAAGGCCGACGACAAGCAGAAAACCTTTTTAATGGACGCGGCTAAAAACCTGCTCTAAACGTACACAGATGTTAAGAAATTCTTTGATTTTTTTTTTTGCCCCGCGGGCAATTCAGGTGCCATGTGCCACGCGTTTTTATCGTTGAGCTTCCCTACCGTTTGCAGAGGCGGAGGCCCTCTCCGCTATTAACGTCTTCAGGGTCGGAGAAATGCTGTTCATGTACATGTACTCGCCATCGTCTCCTGGATCAATCACACGCGGAGAACAAACAAACACACACGAGCACGCACACGCACGCCCGCACACACGGGGATGTGTAAGAGCTCGCGAAAACACAGCAGAAGCAGGATAAAAGCATACTCATTATAAGCACAATTCTCATATACAGCAACAGATGCTTACATCGCACTGGTGGTAAGAAGGGGAAGGACAACTTCCCCTTCTTACAAGCACACAACTTCGGATATAAGCACAGCTGGCCTTGCTCCCCATGGGGTGTGCTTATATACAGATTGTACTGCGTGTAAACACACCGCAACGCTCGTGCACACGTGCGCACAGACGTGCACACAATGCACAGCAAAGAGCCCGTGGGAGGCGAGCAGTTTGGAAAGGAGTATGAGTTAAAGCCCCATGATGAATGGGATGTACGGATTAAAAACTTAGACTCTCAAAGTACAGCTTATTCACACGTCAGCAAACGTGATGAGATGGGGCGGGGGGGGAGGGTGCCCCAAAATTCGGAGACTTGGGTCTCAAAACCAGGTTCTGTCTCTTACTTCAAAGCAACTTGACCAGAAATCATGAACGGGCAGTCAATTACAGGTAAGTATCTCTGGCAGAAAATATCAAAGCCTCTTTGAGGCACGCATTGAAGCGTAACACGCAAGAAGAAAAAAACAACAACCTCCGGGGGGGGGGGGGGGGATATCCGAAAGAAAACATAAAGACACGTATTAGTTAAATGTTACTCCTTCATCCGTACGAATTGTAGGTCTCCAAATTATAGATACACCGGAATGAAACGGGCTGCGGGTCTGAGTGGCTTTAGCCTGCGCGGGATATAAAACCACAGCATTCCACTTTGACGATGACCACGTAAAGGCAACGCGGCAACTGCCCGTGGGCCTTTCAGAGCCCGCGCAGGGGACGAGCGCTGCCAGCACGAGGCGGACACCAACGACGACCGAGCTTGAGACGGGCCACAGGTTCAATAGCTGACTGACGTTGGCCCATATTTGCTCGCAGGGGCACAGAATAAGTACATTTCGATTTAAAGCTTTCATGACTGCAGGGATTCATCTTCTTGGTTCTTTCGGTGAAGTCGCGTAGAATGGAAATAATAGAATAATAAAAATAAAACGTAATAAAATAGTTCTCACGACGTTTCGGCCACAACGCAAGCAGCCGTCCTCAGGTGGAGAACAGGTCTGTCGAGAAGACAGAGTCTGAATGACACACCCCAGGTGTGTGAGAATTATTTTATTATGTTTTAGTTTTATTATTTTATTATTTCCATTCTACGTGACTTTACCGAAAGAACCAAGAAGAAGAATAAGTACAGTTTTTTTTTGTTTCCCAAGAAAATAATCGCAAATGATCACTGTCAAATTAGATCGGAATAGACCACCCTGGCAGTGGCTTTATTTTTGTCCTGGGCCCCAGTGTCCTAACCTCCCTTGTTAGTCCCCCTCGGGACTTCCCAGAAATGCGACGGGACTCGGCAGTGCTGGATTGAGATTCGTGGTGGACCCAGGCCTTGGACCTGTCGGTTCTGGGCCACATTGACACAGGCACACCCCCTGTGGCCTCCTTGGTCACAGGCGGTAAACATTCTCTGGATAAAAACCGAATTCATCATCGAATCCAATTATTAGGACCCCTGAATTAGGGCGATCCACCTAAACGTGAGAGGGTGGGTGAGGTGGATTACCACACGTCCAATCAACAATAAATAATACACAATGGATCCAATTTCAAATTCTTCACACGCACAAACAGACGCGCAGGTCAAAGGAAACGTGGCACGATGCCGCTGCCAGGTAGGCCATACCGGACGACGATTTGAGCTGCTGGATGAAGGTCTGGATGAGCTGCTGCTTGCGTCGAGCGGTGGTTCCCAGCGGCTCCTGGTCGATGATCTCCAGGAAGGAGGAGAGTTCCGGCAGCAGCTGCTCCAGCACTGCCCAGGTTTCCCGCACAAGAGCACGCGCCGCCGGTTAATCAAGCGCCACGTCTTCCGTGCGAAACGTCAAACCTATGTCAACGGCTTTTTTTGCGCGGCGCATACCGAGCGCATTTCCCAGGTTCCCCATTGTGAATGAGACCTGTCATCGCAACGGCCCGTTAGCCGGCTATAAATTGAGGGTTTGAGTGATTGATGGATTGATGGTCAATTGCCCGTGCAAAAGTATAAGCCACCGTGGAATTGTGGGGTAATAAAAGGCACCGGAAGAAGTCGAATCGTCACCACCGCTCAAGGTAGAAAGTATCCATGCCATGCCTAAGAGCCAACGTTAAGTCGGTATGAAAAAGTGAGAAGTTTCATGTTTCCAGGCGGTTAGACAATAATAATACTGAACGTGACCCTTTGCTGCGATGTGACTTTTATTAACGTTGTGCATTCTTGGAATTTATGGCTGGTAGCTACAATGACATGTATTTGTGGTGACATATTAGCCAAACAGTGTTTATACATTTTGTTAAATTAACTCAAAACACAGCTTCATAGACATGTGGTAGCTAGCAGAATGTTTTATTACACAATATGTCTACTTTATTTATAATAGAACATATTGTGTTAACAAGTATATCTCAATGTCCATAAAAGTGTTTGCCCGTATTCCCAACTTATTATTTTCATTTTTACAAATAACACATGTCACGACCAAGTGTCCGTTCGGTTAACAAGACGTTACATTAAATATGTGAAAAAAACACTGAGCACGAATGCAAAGAGGCCATGGACAAACTGACACAGAAGCTCAAGACGTCTCTTGTGCTGTTAGAATGCTTGAACAGGCATGGAAGTAAGTGGCCAGTTTCTGGGAGCGCACGTTGGCATGCATCTTTTTTTTTTTTACCAAAGCCATAAAAAGGCCTCCCTTGTCCCTTACAGACCCGTTGGCAAACAACTAAAAAAATGGCCCACCACAACAGACCCTCTTAAATTCTTTCAGTCTCAACACCACTGGGCGGGCGATGCATTGAATCCCTCAAACAAAAAAACACAAAATTGCTGCACTGTATACAAACCGAATTACAATCGAGCGTTTTGATCAAAACACCACGTCCTACATTTCCCTTGATGCCCCACGCGGTACACAGAGAGCGTCCACATTTCCGATATCCCACTCGGTGTCTCGCTCTCTCGGAGGCAGATTTCCATTGCCGCTTTAGTGTGGCCAAGTTGACCACCAACAAAAATATTGAGCCCATATTAGGAGCACGGCAGTTACTGGTATTAATCATTATATACAGTAACAAGCCATGTGGGCGGTGGGAAGAGAGATCTGATGTCCTCTGGCCTTCCGTCAACACGGGGTTTATAAGGGCATACGCTCTGTGCTCCTCCCAGAAGGGATTGATGCTGCTTGACCCACGCCTTGACCCCAGCGGTATACAGAATTCCAAAACCGTTTGCGGGAACCAATTGAAAGATCTTGAGTGAAACAAAAATACGTATATGCGAGACAAAAACGAGCTGCGCTGCTCACGAGCATATACTGGGAGAAGTTTCCCAGGAAAAGCTCAAATATTTTGAACGGCGTGTTTATCTAAAATATTTACGACTGCTTGAAGTTTGGAGTACATGCGCAGAGCGCTTTGTCAATCCAGGGCCTCTCCATTCTGTGAAGAAGGTCATTCCGATTTGGTTTTACGGATGCTATGTCCATTCTAGTGGCTCAGCGGCAGAGCGAGTGGCTCGCAATCGGAAGGCTGCCTGTCCACATCTTGGCTGGGGTTTGGACCCAGCCCACCATCCTTCTGGGTCAACAAAATAGGTACCACTTTGTGGGGAAGTCAACGGTGCTTGTTGCTGTCGGTAGACTCGCCCCTGTAAATTCGCATCACTGGCTCAGGGCACTGTCTCAATGGTCACTTGAGCAGGCGATAACTTGGACTTTAAAAAAATATATATTTACTAGAGTGCACACACAGCTAACGCATTGGGTGTCTGGTGTGTTATGGCAATTTAATTAATTTGTTCGTTGTTGAGCCAATGTTGGTGATGATAGGGGGCAACAAAACAACGTGGTCTGGCAGGTCACCCCAGCAATCGAGGCCATGATAGATAAACACGAGCAGACGGGTGATTAGGGCACATGGGGGGGTGGAAGATGACAAGACCAATCTCAGCCATAGACAGCGAGGAGATTGCATCGCACATGACCTCAACTAAATATTTACTTTGCAAAATATATCCAAATTGAGATGCACAGGCAGTGTTTTCAAAAAAACACGCTATCACTTTATTTGTTACAATGAAAAAAATTCGTTTTCACCGAAGAACATAGACTAGATTTTTTGTTACATTGTCTTGGTTGCTTTTTCAATCGTTTCCAATTGTTGCCATGGGTATCGTGTGATTTGACATGAAAACATATTCCATTGGGAAATCTCATACAGCAGTGAGCGTCCATGTGTCAGAGAAAGGCCTGCAGAAGAGCTATTTTAGCAGACTTAAACAAATAAATCCATGTAAGGCCATTTTATCCTCTCCACAGTAAGAGTCGCACTCTCACACACAAAAACACTCCGCTTCGAGAGTTTTACGACGAAAGTCAAAACAACACTTTTACATTTTCAGAGCTGGAATTTAGTCAAACAAATGCAACATCACATTTCACGTCATTCTCTTGTATGTGGTCATTGACGGCCCGGCTAAGAGCACCACCAACTCGCTATTCCGTACTTGAAAACTAATCAATACAATTAATTAATCACGGCGGGCTCTAAAACACGGATTTAAACCTAGGCTCTTTCGCAGCGCCAACGTAATGCTCCGACCACCCTTAGCCACCCGGTCATCTTGGGAAACGTTGAAGCTCCAGCGATCGGCACACAGATGATCGTAAATCGTGGAGTCAGTCTGTCAGCCATTGTCCTGAATCACAGACAACTGCCCTCTAGGCAAGTAATTGAGTGTGGTTTCTGCATGGAGACAGCGTTAGCCTTGCCGAGGGTTTCTCCATCCACCCTCGTGTTGGTGTGGTCTTTTCCATTCACGGAGCACTTGCACGGGTTGACCTTCCCAGGTATAAGTGGTGATTAACAGGATAAAATACACGGCATAGCTTTTGGGATGTACCGCGCGTTGTTCGGCACAATGTCCGACGTTTCGCCGCACGTGCCTGCAGCAAGGCGATCATTTCGTAATGTTTCGCTCCACGTGTTGGGAGCGACTTTGAGAATTGAATTCAGCGCGTGAAATCGAATTATTTTTTCCCGTGGAAAAGCTCAACAGCACGTGGAACGAAACGTCGGACATCGTGCCGAACAGACCAACAAAAAACGGATCACATTGCAAACCCCAACGGCAGTGAGCATGCGCAACGGTCTTCCTCGGCAAGCCTCACTGGACGCTCTGCGCACATTCACCTTTCACTCCATCTGACGCACGCACCCACAACCGTGTCCCTGGGGTTGGCAGGAGAGTGACCACCCCAAACCCACCCCCCCAACTCCCAGACGATGACACAATTGTCCTTTCAGCAACCCCGTTTGCTCGGGTGGAGGCGGGGGAGGAGGGGGGAGGCACAAGAGCCTTTAATGCTCCACGTAATCAGCTTTCAGATCATTCTCAATGGGGAAAGCAGCTGGTGGGCGCATAGTGTGGAGAGAGGAGCGCGTGCACCAGATATGCTGCCCCAACCGTGGTGAAGCAAATAAATAAATAACGTGTTGCTCGCACGTGTGCAGCTTTCGCGAGCGATCGCAAGCGGCGCTGCAGCTGTGGAGCGGGATTCAGCGTGGGGCAATCCAGTTGGGAGGGGGGTGGGGTCTTTCGTTGCTTTGTTGGTGCTCGGGGCTGTTTTATATTTAACCAAACCTGAGTTGCCATCCGTGGAGTTTTAAGGGTGCCTGTGCAAATTTACAGGCCATTTCATTCGGCACCCACGCTCACGATTGAAGGATATATTGACACGTTTCAAAGAGGTGCTGCTAAAAAGTTCAGCCGTGAGTTTGCTTCCTCGACGCACTGCTGGCGAAAGCGCCTCTACTAGCGGAAGCTCAGTCGAGCCCCACTCTCTCTACTCTACCACGCTGGCGAGATGCCTCGGAAGAGTTGGCAGTACCCATGCTTTAGCCCCTGCACAAGCAACAAGCTGATCGACTGTGCCAAAATGTTAACTACCTTGCCTAATGTAAGGAGGTTATGGGTTAGATCTAGACCCTGACCCCTGTATATGTGGAGTTTGCGTGTCTCACATCCCGTCGTCACGTGGATTTTTCTTCATGTCACCCGATGTTTCCCCTCCACATTTAGAAATGTGCGTTTAGAGTATTTGACAGCTAGAAATGTCCACGTGATAATCCACTTCGTTGAGCTATCATTTGTGGCTGGGTCGCTTCTGAAAGAGCTACATAGCTTACCTGCTGAAATAAAACATCGTTTGCTCTGGTAACCATTTGCAATGCTGGGTGGATAGAGGTGGGCTTCAAAAAGGGGGGGGGGGGGAGTTGGCGGATTTAATCTATTCAAGAAAACTGGACCATTGTTTCAACTGCCAGGCCGTAAGATCGAATCTAGCCGATGAACTTACGGGGCTAACCAGAACAACATTGTAGGGATATGAAATGTAAAAGAGTCTTATGTAATAATAATATATATTTTTTAAAGATACCAGACATTCCATTTGGTAGCATGCCGCTTGAATTTTTTTTGATTGGGGCCACCAGGTGTAGATTTGCAAAAAAAAACATCTCCAGCTCTGCATGGTAATACATTGCATAATTTAACTCGGGACATCGGTTCTAAGTTTCCTTCCAACAACACGGTGTTGTCAGTTACAAAACAAACTTCTTCATTCTCACGCCGAGGCATCAAAACATTCTTCCTTGTTTGTGACCAGAGTTCATCGTGACATTGACATACTTCACGTTGTTTCAAACGACGAACACTATGGATAAAAATAACTAACGATATTTAAAATGGGCATATGCCTCAAAAACAACTTT